TGATCCTCTAAAATACATAAAAAACATCTATGTATACCAAAAAAAGGGATATTCATCAAAATGTAAAAAAAAAAAACTAATTTTTATTTTCTTCACATTTTCCTACATTTTCCAACAGCATGTAATTATTTTCATAGTCAGAAATCAATAAAGTTATTTCCATTTTAGGAGAAAAAAATGGGATTTGTTTTTCTTGGACAGAGTCCCAGCTGCCCCTTTCTACAGAAATGTTACAATTTTTCTGAGCCATCAGGGATTCTCCTGATCTCCAAATTGTTCACATGTTCATGCTCTACCAAAATGGCACCAACTAAGAGACAAAATTATTTTCATGGTTTTAGCAGAAACAAACATCTTCTCTCTACAGTTGTATCCAAGACTTATTAACTAGGTTAGCCCCATAGCAGTAGGAACCCCAGAAGGCAAAGAATAACATGGTGAGGAGTTCCCTGATGCCCCTTTTTGCCTCCTATATAGCTCAGAGTGGGTGTTGAAGAAGCCCAATATCTGTAATGGATACAGAAAAAAAAGTCCAAAGAAAAGCCTGCTCTCTCTTGCTAAAGAACAGGGAAAAGGTAGCCTAGAATTGATAGAAACCATTTTGACAATAAATGCCCTACTGCAGCAAAACAAAAAACAAAAAAACTCAGAGGAAAATGCCATAGGCCCTCAACCACTGTTAGCAAAGGCCAAGTGGGGAGCTTAGATTGCCATCTGCACTGGCAATAATAAAGTGTCTCTCCCAATCCCCAAGTGGTAATATCAGAGAAGTCCAAGGAGCAAGCCTGGACTTTCACTACTGCCCAGCACCCTCTCTTATGGAGGCCACATTGGGAACCTGGACTTTTAAGCCCACATCAATAATAAGGTATTTCTCACCCTCCCCAGGTCAGTGAAAGCCAAGTGAGAAGCCTAGATTTCTACCCCTGCCCACTGAAATGAGGTGCCTCTACCTCTCTCTTCCAGAATGGTGTCAGCAGAGACCAAGGCAAAACCCTGGACTTCCGCTCCTACTTGAGAGTAACAAGGCACCACTCCTCTTTTCCACAGTGTCAGTAGAGACTGAGTGGAAAGCACAGATTTCAATCCCTGCCCAGTAGTTAGGTACCTTTCTCCATCCCATCTAGAATGGTTCTAGGATTCTACTATCCCCACTTGGTATAGAGTCAGTGTTGGGGCATCCTGGTGGCTCAGTCGGTTAAGTGTCTGACTCTTGGTTTGGCTCAGGTCATGATCTTGGGGTCATGGAATTGAGCCCTGCATCTGGCTCCATGCTCAGTGTGGTGTCTGCTTGGGATTCTCTCTCCCCGTCCCTCTGCCCTTGCACCTCCTGCTTGCACTCTAAAATAAATAAATCTTAAAAAAAAAAGACAGAGAGAGGAGTCAGCATCTATATTCCCCTGCTGGTGTGGTTTCAGTGGAGAGCTGCTAAAATTTAAATAAGATGTAGTCTCATAACATAATTCTCAGTATGTCCAGAATGCAACTGAAAAACACTTGTCATACCAAGACCCAAGAAAAATCTTACCTTGGATGAGAAAAAACAAATGCCATGTCAGATAATTCCGACTAGACAAGAATTTTAAAGCAGTCATCATAAAAATGCTACGACCAATTAAGAACACACTTGAAACAAAATAGTAAGTTTTAGCAAAAAAGATCAGACGAGATTGGGCACGTTCAGGGTGGTACAGCCACAGACAAGTAACAAAGAGAAAGGAAGGAAATATAGTCAAAAGGAAATATACAATAACCTCACTAAATGGGCTCAGTAGGAGAATGAAGATGATGAGGAAAGAATGAATTTCAAAACACAACAACAGAGGAGCACCTGGCTGGCTCAGTTAGTAGACCATGTGACTCTTGATCTCAGAGTTGTGAGTTCAAGCCCCACGTTGGGCACAGAGCCTACTTAAAAAACAAAACAAAACACAACACAACACAACACTACAATAGAAATTACCCAATCTGAACAAGAGACAAAAAAGACTGGGGGAAAAAAAAGTGCCAGAGACCTATAGGACTATTTTTTTAAAAATCTAATATTCAGGGTTATCAGAATTCTAGAGAAGAGAGGAGAGCCTGGGAGCCTAGGAGCCTGGGTGGCTCAGTCAGTTAAGCATCTGACTCTTGATTTTGGCTCTGGTCATGATTTCAGTGTCATAAGATCAAGCACCGTGTCAGGCTCCATGCTCAGCAAGGAGTCTGCTTAGGATTCTCCCTTCTCCTACTTCCTTCTGTCCCCACTCCCTTTCTTTCTCTAAAGTGAATAAGTGTTTTTTTTTTTTTAATAAGATTTTATTTATTTGAGAGAGAGAGAATGAGTGGGAAGGAGGGGCAGAGGGAGGGGGAGAAGCAGGCTTCCTGATGAGCAGGGAGCCCAATGCAGGGCTTGATCCCGGAACCCTGGGATCATGACCCAAGCCGAAGGAAAATGCTTAACTGACTGAGCCACCCAGGTGTTCCTAAAGTGAATAAATCTTAAAAAAAAAAAGAATTCCAGGAGAGAGAAAGCAGTTGGAGCTGGAAAAAATATCTAGAAAAAAAGCTGAAAAATTTCCAAATTTGGTAAAGATAAACATAAAGATTCAAGAAGCTGACCAAAGTCTAAAGAGGATAAATCCAAAGAAATAATCTTGGGTAGAGGAACAGGATTCATAAGACAGAATTTTTCATCAGAAACTATGAAAAACCAAAGAAAGTGGTAAAACACTTTTCAAGTGCTGAAAGAAAAGAACTCTCAACTCAGAATTCTAAGGATATTCTGAAAATATCTTTCAGAAATGAAGGTGAAATCAAGACCTCAGATGAAAAATAAAGAGAATTTGTTGCCAACAGACCTACCCTAAAAGAAACACAAAAGAAGTTCTTCAGATACAGAAGAAAACTTGGAATTTCAGGAAGAAAGAACAATAAAGTTTTCTAAATTATGTTTAATGTTCGAAGCACAAACTATAATACTGTCTGATGTGGGGGCACATGGCTGGCTCAGCCATAAAGCATGCAACTCTTGATCTCAGAGTCATGAGTTCAAACTCAACATTGGGCTTAGAGTTTATATTAAAAAAAAAACTTTCTAATATTGTCTGATGTGGTTCTCAATATTGCACAAAGAAAACATTTAAGTCAATTATGTTATAAAAGGGAGAGAGTAAAAAGATCTAAGTGGAAGTAAGGCTTCCACACTTCATTCAAAGTAGTAAAATGTTGGCACCAGTAAACTGAAAAGTTGCAAATATATAAGACAGTATTTAGAGCAATCATTAGGAAATCTATGAAGAGATACACTCAAAAACACTATAGATAAATCAAAAAGGAATTCTAAATAATATTCAAGTAATCCATGGGAAGGCAGGAAAAAAGAAAGGAATGAAAAACAAAACAACAACAAAACAATAAAACAGCAACTTAAGCTCTCATATCAACAATTACACTAAATGTAAATGGACTAAATATATCATTAAGAAATTGTCAGAACAGATTAAAAAAATATGAACTATAAGAAACTTTCTTCAAATATACTGATGATGATAATAACGATTAGGCTGAAAGTTTAAAGACTGAAAAATGTGAATGTTAACGTTTTATTACATGACAATACTAATCAAAAGAAAGCAGAAGTAGCTCTATTAACATCTGATAAAGAAAATTACCAGAGATAAAGAAGAATATCATGTGGATAAAAAGGTCAATCCACCAAAAAGATACAGCAATCCTAAATGTGTAGGCACCAAACAACAGAACTTCAGAATACAAGAAGCAAAAACCATTAGAACTAAAAGTAGAAATACACAAATCCACAATTAAAGTTGGGATATGCAACAAATCCCCTCTCAATAATTGATAGAACTATTAGCCAATTAGCAAGAATTGAGAGGAGTTTAATGCCACCTCCACCATCTGGATCTCAAGGCAGCTTAGCAAGTACTACATCATAAATGGCATGTAGTCTTGTTTAATGATCTGTTAAACATAATACATCACTTTTCTATTGTTGCTTTAATAACAAAAGTAGCACATATTGACTGGGGGAAAATACTGATGTTTAATAAAGTAAAAACTAAAATACCCCTGCCAATCTGCCATCACTCCCCTAAGATAATCATTCCCCAGAATCCGTATTCTTTAAACTCTTTTCTCTCTTTATATATATGTAAATATGCACATATGCATAGTTTTAATTTTATAAAAAATGGGATTATATCTCACATACTGTCTGCAACTTGCCTTTTTCAGTCCGGTGATGTATATGGACATCATTCTTAGCTGGTAATAGATATATAGATCTATCATATGAAGTATTAATAAAAATGTTCTCAAAAAACTTATTCTTTGATAAGTTCCTTTGAGTTACAAAAGCATATTACACTCAATACCTAGAAATATAATGACCATCTGCTTTTATATACCAGCAGAAAGAATAAAATTCTCCTTGAGCAAGGTAACAAGATAGTTGAAATGCTCTGAAAACAATAAAGGGACAAAAAACACAAATTTTATCAATTATGTTTCTAATTTTTTTTTATTTCTCAAGGAGAACTCCATAATCTAGCTGGCATCATTAACTAAAGGAAAATATAGGTATCCTACCATTATGTGCAAAGAAGAAGGGGTTGGGATTATGTTAATACAAGTATTTGTTTCTAAGAGTGAAATACTCACAGCTGTTTCTCCTTTTGGGAGATTTGTTTCTGCAGACTGTCGGATTTACTCTGACACTCTTGTAGATATTTCTTGTCTTCATCTTCAGCTTCCATTTGCGCCTTCTCTGCTTGCTGCAATCTGGTGTAATTCAAATCAACTTTGGGTAAAACTGAGGCTAGAACTAGGGTGTAAAAGGGTGAAGAAGACAAATAAAAGAAAAATGGGGAAATAGAAACATTTCTAAATGAAAACAAAGTTTGGGGGAAAACTCACAAACTCAAACGTGAAAGAGCCACACAATGTCTAGAAATTGTTTTGTGATTTTTTTTTCAATATAACATATAATATGCCCAGAATACTATCTTCAAATTTGTTTTATTTCTTGTTCATAATTAACAATGCAAAGCAATACAGCCTTTACCACTTACGTAGAGCAGAATGAATTAACTTTGAAAGTATAATGGGTGTGTTACTGCCTTTTTACAAAACCATGTAAAGCACAGTATTTACGCCTACACTAGGTGAAGAAGCCACATTGTTATTTATTATGTTAGGATGTGTATGCCAGGAATCAAGTGTGCTACAAGGCCAAGAGCAAAGACCTGCAATTATTTCGAACAGCCAAGTCCTCCCTGTAGGATCTTTATGCATTTACTACATTATGCCGAAAGCTGTGTGTATGTGTATGTTAAGATTTGAAATAATATAGTATTAGTTGGCAACATTCTCTAGAGATCATTTTTGTTCATCACTGATGTTTAAATATTAGCTAAAAATGTGATTTTCATTTGTTCTGTTTTTATTTGTAAGTCATTGCTTCTCCCTGTGCTTAGCTCCACTCCCTGCCTCCCATCTAGGATTTCTTAGATTTAACTTCAATGTTTTTATAAGAAAAGTTTTCCCACGTATTAAAGAGACACTAACTGCTTGTAGGGAATCACAGGCAAAATTTCTATTCAACTAGCTGAAAACACTGCCTCTTCTTTTCTTCCTAGAAACATACCAGTGGGACAACCTGACACATTTGAGAAGTATAAATGCCACTTCTGAGCGAAAGAGAGTAACATTCAAGTTATCACTAAATTGAAATTTAATTTTAAAATATTAACATAGGGAGACAGGGACCCAAGTATTTCTCTAAGATTACAGAAACTAAAATAAAACTCAGAGTGAGGTAGGGCTTGAAGTTGTGCTATCATAGAAGAGGGCTAAGGGAACTGGAAAACTGAGGTGCTGGAGCACAAGAGAATGGCCAATCTGGGTTATAAACTATTTTAAAACATATTAAAAAATCAGTAAAGAAGCCATTAGGCCAAGAGTGGGCCAACAGGGAAAATTTGTGCCAACACATTGTGAAACCAAAGGGTTAACTTATTTTTAAACAATGTTTATATTTTCCATCAAAAAGTAGCTAAAAAGATAAAACTGCACTTGAAAATCCTGACCTCCAAAAGGTCAATACTCAAATCAGCCTTTGTGCACAAGTTTGAGGAATGTGTTTTTGGAAATCCAAGTGCACCCACTCTGCTTTATGGCAGTGTATTACCACAGCAGCTGATCAAGAAGTGGACAGGGTCCTTAATACCCTTTTCAAATACTTAATAGCATAAATTATTTTCTATTTAATATATTATAAAATTGTCGATTCTCTTTTAGTCTGTTTAAATACAAGTGGTTTTCAGAAAGATATATCTTTGACCAGCTTGTACTGGTCCTGAGTGTCACTGCTGGCATATTTCACCAATGACATTGCAATTGTCCTAGTTTGAGTTAACAAATCATTGTCACTTCATAATGGAATGGACAGAAATTAAAGACAGAAAAAGGTAATAAAGATGTCCAAAATGTAAAAATGGGGATAAAGAAAACAAAAAAGAAAAAAGAAGAAAGAGGATGTCAATAAAAGAATATTCATGTCAATAAAGCATTAATAGTTATGTTTTTCATAAGTAGATTCAAAGAAAGCAATGATAAGACATATGTTGACACCAACATGACAGGTCAATGGAAATACATTACATTTTCCAACAATAAAAGTGAAAAATGCCAATACAAAACAATTCAATTTAAATAAAATTATTTATTGGTTTGGGTTGAGGGTCCTAGCTCAAAGAAACGCAACTAAACTGCCAACTCAAAGCTTGATTTCAGATAAAGAGATGGTGAATGACAAAGGATATGACAATCAATATGCATGGAAACAATCAGGGATAATTCCACCATAGCTTTTGTTCGTTTTTCACTTTTTTAAAGTTTTTGTTTGTGTATTTGTTTTATGTCATCGATTGAACCACATGAAATTGCCGATATTAAATCTTTTAAGAAAATCCACAAAATGGCAAATTCAAATGAAATCAGCCTACTATAAAGCAACTTGATTCCATGCAACAACCAAAACAAAAAAGGCAAAATCCTGCTGGGCTTAAAAAAAAAAAAAAGTCCTAATCTAAATTTTCCTAATGATTTTTGTGGCAGGTGTCAGAGCTGAATAAAGAAAAGGGAGAAAAAAAGGAAAAAAAGAAACTAAGACTGAAAATGCTGTACCTTTGCTCCAGCTGCCGCATGGCTGCAGTAATTTTATTGGTTTTTTCTTCTAGTCGGGCAATTATTTCATTTTTTTCTTTCAAGCCATCTTCAGAACCCTATTTAGAAAGAAAAAAAAAAACTATAGTGGCTTTGATTTTTAAACCTGAATATTTTTAAGTTTTGTATACCATTTCACTATGGAATTTTTACTTTGAAATGAGTAGAGCTAATTTGTAGATTAAAATACTCCTATGATATAAAGCAGTAGTACTATTAGTCTTCAATTAAAATGTAATAAAAGAAAACTGCCTTTAGTGCTTCTGGAAGACAACAGAATAAACTTGTAAACTATGCTTTTTTTCCAATTAGTTTTTGGCAACAAATCTACTTAAACAGTGATGTCACTTCATGAGAGAATTATAACGATTATTATAGTAAAGCATTTTAAGATTTTTTTATTTGAGAGAGAGAGAGAGAGAGAGAGCACAAGCAGCGGGGAGGGACAGAGGGAGAAGCAGACGCCCCACTGAGCAGAGAGCCCCACACAGGGCTGGATCCCAGGACTCTGGGATCATGATCTGAGCCGAAGGCAGCCACTTAACTGATTGAGCCACCCAGGCGACCCTACAGTAAAGCATTTCAATCAAAATTAAATCTTTCTCAGGGCCCTTGGCTGGCTCAGTAGGTAAAGCATGTAGACTCCTGATCTTGGGGTTGTAGATCAGAGCCCATGCTGGGTGTAGGGATTACTTAAAAAAATAAAATCCTGGGGCACCTGGGTGGTTCAGTCGTTAAGTGTCTGCCTTCGGCTCAGGTCATGGTCCCAAGGTCCTGGGATCGAGCCCCACATCAGGCACCCTGCTCTGGGGGAAGCCTGCTTCTCCCCCTCCCACTCCCCCTGTTTGTGTTCCCTCTCTCGCTATGTCTCTATCTGTCAAATGGGTATTAAAGAGGGCACGTTCTGCATGGAGCACTGGGTGTTATACACAAACAATGAATCATGGAGCACTACATCAAAAACTAATGATGTAATGTATGGTGATTAACATAATAAAAAAATAAAATAAAAATAAAAAATAAAAAGTAAAAAAATAAAATCTTAAAAAAATAATTAAAGGGGCAACTGGGTGGCTCAGTCAGTTAAGTGTCTGACTTCAGCTCAGGTCATGATATCAGGGTCCTGGGGTCAGGCCCTGTGTTGGTCTCCACACTCAGCAGGGAGTCTGCTTCTCCCTCTCCCTCTGCCCCTCCCTCAAGCTCATGCTCTCTTTCTCTCAAATAAATAAAATCTTTTTAAGAAAAAATAAATCTTCCTCAGGACTACACTGTATAAAGAATTCATAGAAATGTCCTGCATATTTAGACTGAGTTTTCCCAAAAGATTTAATCTTCATACTTAACCTTTTGGCATTAAAAAAGAAATTCAGATAGGTGATTTGTTTATTCTTTGATACCTATTCCATTGCTACACTACTTAAGCTTCCATACAGAAAAAAAGTCACTGGTTTTTATTACCAATATGGCACAGCTAAAAACCAAATCCTTCATACAAAAAGTTATTTTCAATTTACATTAAACTCAAGAAATTCTAAGAATTTAAGAATGAGCCTTACCTCCAAAATCTATAAAGAACTTATCAAACTCAACACCCCCCCCAAAAAATAATCCAGTTACAAAATGAGAAGACATGAATAGACACTTTCCTAAAGAAGACATCCGGATGGCTAACAGACACATAAAAAGATGCTCAACATCACTCATCATCAGGAAATACAAATCAAAATCACAATGAGATACCACCTCACACCTGTCAGAATGGCTAAAATTAACACAAGAAACAACAGGTGTTGGCAAGGATGCAGAGAAATGGGAACCCCTTGCACTGTTGGTGGGAATGCAAACTGGTGCAGCCACTCTGGAAAAAGGTATGGAGGTTCTTCAAAAAGTTAAAAATAGAACTACACTATGATCCAGCAATTGCACCACTAGGTATTTACCCAAACAATACAAAAATATAGATTTGAAAGGGGTACATGCACCGTGATGTTTATAACAGCATTATCAACAATATATCAAACTATGGAAAGAGCCCAAATGTCCATTGACTGATGAATGAATAAAGACATGTTGTGTGTGTGTGTGTGTGTGTGTGTGTGTGTGTGTGTGTGTGTGTGTGTGTGATGGAATATGACTCAGCCATCAAAAAGGTCATCTTAACATTTGCAACGACATGGATGGAGCTACAATGTATCACACTAAGCAAAATAAGTTAGAGAAAGACAAATACCGTATGATTTCACTCATATGTGGAATTTAAGAAACAAAACAGATGAACATATGGGAGGGGGGAAGAAAAAAGAGGGAAACCATAAGAAACTCTTAATGATAGAGAACAAATGGAAGGTTGTGGGAGGGAGGTGGGTGGGGGATGGGCTAGACGGGTGATGGGTATTAAGGAGGGCACTTGCTATAATGAGCACTGGGTGTTGTATGTAAGTGATGAATCACTGAATTCTACTCCACTGTAGGTTAATGAACTATAATTTAAATTAAAAAAAAAAGAATGATCCTTACCTGCAACTTTTGATACATTTCTATGTTAATTGCTTTAACTTCCTCTAGTTGTTGCCGAAGGCCTATCAGAGTATCCTGCTTCTCATGGATATCCTTCTCCAACAACTTCATAGCAAGTTCAATTTCATGTTTCATACTAACTTGTACCGCTAGCTCATTTTCCACATCCTGCAATTTGAACATATCCTCAATTCACATACCACTTCAGGATGTCAAAAGTCACACACGGCAGTTAATGAGAACATGAAGAATTTTCTATTCACTATGTAGACTATTTTTTTTTCAATGGTTTCATGTCACTAGGTATATGTCTTTTTATTTTTTTAAGGATTTTATTTATTTATTTATGAGAGAGCGAGAGAAAGCACAAGCAGGGGCAGCAACAGGCAGAGGGAGAAGCAGGCTCCCTCCTGAGCAAGGAGCCAGATGTGGGGCTCAATCCCAAGATCCTGGGATCATGACCTGAGCCGAAGGCAGATGCTTAACTGATAAGCCACCCAGAAGTCCCTGTAGACCACTTTAAAAAAAAAAAAAAAAAATACGTTCCACTCAATTTTGCTATGAACCTACTTGAAAAAATAATTTAAAAAAATAAAAAAAAATACATAAACTACTCTTTTGAGGTTTAAGCCCCATAAAGGGAATCAACCAGGTCCTATAACATTCTAAATATTTTCAACTGTGTATTTTGTGAAAATGAAAGCATTTTCTAGATATTGTTAATTATCACTATTCTGCTTCAAAAATTAAGTATTTTTATGCCTCATAAACTCAGTATTAATTTTCCTTAATCAAAGAAATAAAGTAGTCTGGGGGTGCCTTGCTGGCTCACTTGGAAGAACATGCGACTCTTGATCTTGGGGTCATGAGATCCAGCCCCCACACTGGGTGTAGATTTCTTAAATAAATAAAACTTGAAAAAAAAAAAACCACACACACACACACAGAAATAAAGTAATCCATATAAGTGAAGGCCAAAGATAACTCAAAAACCCCACTTCACAGTTTCAATTTCTTCTCTTACAGAATTTTACATTGTGGTGGGGGGATGTGGTACATGGAGGGCACATGATGGAACATACAACTGGGTGTTATAAACAACTGGTGTCGTGTATGGGTGCACATGGGTGTTATACGTAACTGATGAATCACTGAACTCTACCTCTGAAACTTATAATAAGCTATAGGTTTAATTGAATTTAAATAGAATTAAATTAAATTTAAAAAAATTCTCACATCAAAACACAAAGAAGTTTCCTAATATTAAAGACAAATAGCAAAAGGGATGGAAAGGCTAGCAATAGTCTCTTCTTGACCTGGGTGGTGATTATACAGGTATTTATGTTATAACCCATTAAGCTGTACATTTGTACTTTTCTGTAGGTATTGTATCAATTTAAGGATAAAAAAATCAGTTAATTTTTTTTAAAGATTTTATTTATTTCAGAGAGAGAGAGAGAGAGAGAGAGCGTGAGAGAGCATGAGCCAGGGGAGGGGTCGGGGAGAGCGAGCGAGTCCCAAGCAGACTCTGCACTGAGTGCAAAGCCCAACGCAGGGCTCCATCCCACCACCCTGAGATTATGACCTGAGCTGAAATCAAGAGTCTGATGCTCAACTGACTGAGTCACCCAGGTGCCCCGTTAATTTTTTTTAAAGTAACTTCTATGCCCAACACAGGGTTGGAAATCATGACCCCAAGATCAAGAGTTGCATACTCTACCAACTGAGCCAGCCAGGCACCCCAAAAATAAGTTATTTTTAAATATGATTTGAAGCACCTGGGGGGCTCAGTCAGTTGAGCATCTGTCTTCAGCTCAGATCATGATCTCAGGGTCCTGAGATCGAGCCCCTTGTCAGGCTCTCCGCTCAATGGAGAGTCTGCTTCTCCCTCTTCCTCTGTAATCCCTCACGCTTTCACTCTAAATAAAATCTTTAAAAAATTTTTTAAATATCATTTTAGTCCTATTTGAATCCATCATTCTATTGTTTTGTTTTTTTTAATGCTGGTCACAATCCATTCATTTCAGATTATAACACAGTATAAAAACACTTTAAAAAACACTTGATAAAAAAAGAATTTGAAGGGGTTGTAAGGGGGTGAGATTTCTATCCCACAGCAAGGAAGATAAGGCTAAAAAAGAGATTTTAAGTGATGCTTAAGGGTAAATTATTATTATGATTATTATTTTTGCTAATGTAAACTACCTGTCTTAACTGAGATTCATCTCGAAGCTGCCTTCTGGCTTCATTGTACATTTCATCCAGCCCCTGCCGAGAATGCTTATATGTTTGCAGCTCAGTTTCCACATCCACTTTGGTAACCTAAGAAGAAAACATCAAGCTTTTTACTGTGTAATCACTGCTATCAATACAGCACAGAAATAAATATCCAGTCTATGCAAAAGTCCCCAAAAGTGGCAATTTCTGACACAAGACAGTGTGTTTGCAAACAGTCCATACTTACCTCCAGGTGCTGCTGTGTTTTCATTAAAATCAATTTATTTTCACTTCGTAATTGATGATTTTCTTCTTGGAGTTTAATGATATTATTTTTTGCTATTGCTAACTAAAAATTATGAAACAGGGACAAGAAAAAAGATTTTAAACACCTTTACTTATACTTGCTTTACAGGTTATGATCATCGCTATAAACAACAGAATATAAAAGCTTAAAACTAGTCAAATGTCTCACATCTACAGAAGATTTCATAAGAAAAATGTGCTATTATCCTAAGATACCAATAAAAAAATTGAACTCTTATTTCTAGTATTTCATTAGTCAAAATATATTGTTAAAACATATCATGTATATCTAAGTATGTTCTGAATACAAAGTGTCATGAAACAATAAGACTGTAAAGACCTGTGTAAAGATAAAAGATCTATAAGAAGGCTGTGCTATCACCGAAAATGTGATACAGACCTTCATGATAACCAAAAAGGACACCCTCTGAAATAGAGAACACTGAGTGACCATCGCAAATATGAGACATTTTTCACCATCAGAGTTAAACTAAGTGGCTTGGTTCTGAGGCCTATAATGAAAAGAGGGATTCCAGGAAAGGAAAGCAGGGACCATCCCCAATGTTGGCTTATAAATAAATTTCCGAACACTTCATCAGGGATATAACTTGAACTTCACAGTGTGCCTAAGGCCAAGAAGAAGCACAAACTAGAGAGGAGCTCTAATGGTCCCAATCTATCAAACTACCAAATGGTCCCAATGGCCAACAGACACATGACAAGATGCTCAACATCACTCATCATTAGAGAAATGCAAGTTAAAACTACAATGAAAGACCACCTGTCAGAATGGCTAAAATCAAAAATACAAGAAACAACAGGTGTTGGCGAGGATGTGGGGGGAAAAAAAGAACCCTTGGTGCGCTATTGGTGGAAATAGAAACTGGTGCAGTCACTGTGGAAAACAGTATAGAGTTTCCTCAAAAAATTAAAAACAGAACTACCCTACAATCCAGTAATTGCACTACTGGGTATTACCCCCAGAATACAAAAACACTAATTCAAAGAGATACATGCATCACTGTTTACTGCAGCATTATTTACAATAGCCAAACTATGGAAGTGGCCCAAGTGTCCACGGATAGATGAATGGATAAAGAAGATGTAGTGTGTGGATGGAATGTTATTCAGCCATGAAAAAGAATGAAATCTTGCCATTTGCAACAACATGGATAGAGCTACAGAGATTAATGCTAGGCAAAATAAGTCAGTCAGAGAAAGACAAATACTGTATGATCTCACTCATGTGTGGAATTTAAGAAACAAATGAGCAAAATCAAAAAAAAAGAGAGAGAAACCAGGAAACAGACTCAACTATAGAGAATAAACTGATGGTTACCAGAGGGGAGATGGGTGGCTGGATGGATGAAATAGGTGATGGGGATTAAAGAGTACACTTACCATGATAAAAAAAAAAATAGAACACTATGAAGTGGTCCCAAACTATCAAAATAAAGATACATTTGCAGTCATGCAAATAATCATGTGCTCCCTGGTTTGGAAAAATTAGGCCAGTTCTAAAAGAATTAAGAATTTTAATTAACACAGAAAGTAGGGTTCAGAGCACTCGTGACAGATTTCTTCCTCCAGCCTAAATAATTCTGAAAATAGAAAGCAGTAACTCTGTGGTTTGATCAAAAAAAAAAAAAAAAACTTATCTAAAGCAACTTTACAAACAGTATTAAAAAGAGAGCAGAGATAAACTTCCGGTCTGGGACCACCAGATAGGCGCTCTGACAACGCAGGAAACCAGAGCACACAGGATGAGGTTTATACTTGGCTGGGTGGAGAAAGGGTGGCCACGAGCAGGTAGTGGTGCTTGTAAAGAAAAGTAATCTGAATAGTGGAACAAGACAAACAGTATCATTTTAATGGGAATTTCTACCTATAGGTGATTCACTATCTAAATAGAGGTCATCCAGATTTTAAAAAGAGAATCACAGCTTATTTATAGAAGAGCTTGTATGAGTGTTATCTTTGGGGCTCATTTCTAGGAGTATCTCAAACAACTCACAGATTTACCAGAGAATTTACCTGAGAAAATGTGGTTTCTCTAGAACTTACAATCAATTACAACTATATTGCAAATATTCCATCATAAGGATGAAAATGTGCACCCATGCACATGCACACTTAGTGTATTCATACTTAAAATGGAAAAGGATCACAAATACTCAGTCCGTGTAAGACAATTATCCATGGCTGGGTTACAATACCTCTTCAATCAGCTTAGTATTTGACTTTTCTAATGAGTCAACTCTTGAATGGAGACTGCTGACTGTGCTGCTGAAATTAATAAAGAAAAAACTCATTCAAATCACACAAATTCACAAAAGTGAGAAAAGGTATGTTATCCTGGACTTACCATGTTAACTAACATGCACCGACTATCCTGAATTTTTGAGTGTGGGAAATTTCATTAAGTTGGATAACCAGATTTGGTGAGCAATAAAGACTGAGCAAAAAGCTGATTTCTACTAAAATTCCACTTTATGCTGCTCATTATTTTTTGTTGTCTTCTTAGAGTCTTTTACATTTAAATTTTAATACTTAGGAATGGATTCCACACAAAGACTACCAAGTATTATTAAAATTAAATTTAAAATTATCTTTTAAAGGATGAACTTTAAATATCCACTTTATAATTAAGTGGCTTAATAAGCATGTACAGCAGTCTTCAACACAAGCCCATTCTGTTTCCACTCTCCACTTTCATAATCACTTAAAGACCTCTAAAGTCACCTGTAGTTTGGGAAATGTGAGTATGAAATTCACATCAGGTACCCGGACAACCAGCAGCTAAGCAAATACCCTGACTTTCAAGGATATAGCTAAAAGTCAGGTTAAGCCAAATGAACTTGGTTTTTTTGTATTTTTGTTTAAACTGATCAAGATTGGACATTACTGTACATTTTTTTCTGCATTTTTATAAATCTTGATAAAAAATCGTATTTCAAACTGTACAGTCACCAGAAGTACAGTTATCAAAAATGCACACACTTCACTTGGCATCTACGAGACTGGACATTATTGTACACTTTAGTTTTTCAAGGCCTTGTTTCTACCACCTCCTTTCTTTAATAACATAATATGCTGTTTACATCACAATAAAACCTATAATAGATTTAAACAAATTTTATACCAGCCTCAGAAATAAATATTGGCATTTTAGTTTAACTGGTAAAACAAATCTTTTTTCATTCATGTTAAATCATTTTTAAATATTATCATTCTTAGGGAAACAACTTGAATTTTTCACAAAGAGCAACAGGGTATCCGGATGGTGAGACCTTAACAGGTGTGGGACTAAGAGAGGACCAAAGTTAGAGTCCCCACTTTTCTACTTTCTGTGTCACCTTGAAAGCTGTAAAACCTTTCTGAGCTCCAGTTTCCTTATCTATAAATCAGATAATATCTGTCCTACCTTTATGTAAGAATCAGTAAAATATTAATCGAAAAAGCACTTTTGAAAATAAACCCTCAATAGTTTTCTTTGAATGAGGGATAATATGTGAGTTCTATTTTTTTCTTTATCTGTTTTCTATATTTTTTTAAATACTCTAAATATACAAAAACATTCTAACTGGAAAAACAATGACATATTTTTAAATCCGTAAAATGTACAAAAGTAAGGCACTAGTACTGCTGTAAATGATTTAAAACACATAATTTAAAAGAGAATGAGAAAACTCCTTGAACTAAATGGAACAGACTCTAAGATAAACTGTTGGGTAAAAACACTGAACTTCAGAATAGTGTAAAAATTATGCTACTTTATGTGTAAAAAAACTGAGGGGAAGGGAACTTTAAGAAAATATATGCATATTCTTGTCTACTTGTATAAAGTATCTCTGGAGGCATGCATGAGAACCTATTAATTAGTCCCAAAGAGGGAAACCAGGTGACTGGATATCAAGGAAAAGGGAGGCTTTTTGTTCATGTTCCTTTTGAAGTTTAAACTATGTGAGTATATATATATATTTTTTAAAGATTTTATTTATTTATTTGAGAGACAGCAAGCACAAGCAGGGCAGCGGGAGAGGAAGAAACAGACTCCCCGCCGAGCAGGGAGCCAGATGCAGGGGATGCAGGGCTCGATCCTAGGACTCTAGGATTGTGACCTCAGCTGAAGGCAGTCGCTCAACCAACTGAGCCAACCAGGCACCCCAAACTATATGAATATATTACCTGTTGCCAAAAGTGAATAAAGCTTTAACAGTAAGTAAATAAGCAATACAAAGTTGCATTTAGAAATGTAATCTCAGAATTACAAATTAGAAAACACATATACATACACATATATTTCCTAGGACATCTTTTATTAAAACTCGGTGATTGAAAAAAAAGACAATGATACAAGATATTTCCTAACTTCAGAGAAAGCAAGAGTTACAGCTTATTTTTCTAAAATGGGAAAATGTTTAATTTTATTTTCTGACTATTGAACGAAACTTAGAAAATCAGAAAAGTATAAAGAATAAAATAGAAATTATCCATAATTTCATCACCCAGTCATTTTTGCTATTCATTTTAATTAATAGGAACAGTCCATTTCTAACTCTGTAGCAAATACTATTCACTTTACCTGTGCTATCTAGTCCAAACTAAAATGTACTATAACTGTAAAATACACATTGGCTTGTGAAGACAATACAAAGAAAGAATATAAAATACCTCAGGAATAATTGTTATATTGATTACATGTTGAAATAATATTTTGGGTATACTGAGTTGAACAAAATATATTTTTAAATTAATTTCATGTTTTTTACCTGTTTAATGTGGTTACTAAAAATTTTAAATTATCTATATGACTCACATTTTATTTCTATTAGAACTGCGCTATACTATTTTACATATTGATCTCAGAAATTCTTCCAAGTATTCACTGACAGCTTCAGTGCCCAGGTGACATATATAAGGAAATAAAATATAAGGAAAAACTCCATTTAATGTGGAGGCGAAAGCCGCATTTACACATGAAGCTCTTTGAAAGTAGGAAAAATGAATTTGTGAACCATAAAAATGATATAAACTTCCACCCTATCTAACCTTTTCTTCTCAAGGATACAGGGATAAGTTTGAAATTCTGTCTTTATTTTTTTGACCCCTCCCCAGGAATTCTATTTTTAAATTCTCCAAATGTTCTGAAAATCTGACTCTTGGGAAGCCTGGGTGGCTCAGTCAGTTAAGCGTCTGCCTTCAGCCCAGGTTATGATCCCAGGGTTCTGGGATCAAGCCCTGCATCAGGCTCCCTGCTCAGCGGGGAGTCTGCTTCTCCTTCTGCTGTTCCCCCTGCTTGTGCTCTAATCTCACTCTCTCTCAAATAAATAAATAAAATCTTAAAATAAAAAAAAATCTGATTCTCATTTTTTGAAAATGAATTAGCTCCAATAATTCTCTGTATTCTTAATTTCTATTCTCTACTCCCTCAACCCTTTCTCAAAGATGTTTAGTAGGAAGGAATAGGGTAAAGTGGACCTGAAAAGGGTGAAGAAAACCTCTACGACAATAGTCACAAATATCCAAGTAACCATAACACTTACTTCAGTTGTCTATTTAATTCTTCAACGTAATTCTTCTGGTCTAATATGGCAGCAATTTGAACATCCCTAAAGAGGGGGAAAAGAAGCTTTGTGTCAGTTGGAAAAGTATTTACTGAAGGACCAAAAAAATGTCTATGTCGCCTAAAAGTGTTGTAAAACCATAATGGCAAAAAACACTACCTTGCCTTTAAATAAAATTCAAGAATCTTTATAATAATGTAGCAGTAGGCTGTGTACTAATTATAACCTTTGTTAAGTCTAGTATTAGCACGTAATCTTTTTAACAATACCATTAAAAAGTATATTTAAGAACTCCTTGCATCAGTATGTTTTTTAATTAAAATACATTTGACATTGGGCGCCTGAGTGGCTCAGTTGGTTAAACGTCTGCCTTCAGCTCAGGTCATGATCCTGGAGTCCCGGGATCGAGTCCCACATTGGGATCCCTGCTCAGCAGGGAGTCTGCTTCTCCCTCTAACCCTCTTCCCTCTCGTGCTCTCTGTCTCTCATTCTCTCTCTCAAATAAATCAATCTTTAAAAAAAATAAAATAAAATAAAATACATTTGACAGGCGCGCCTGGATGGCTCAGTCATTTAAGTGTTTGCATTCGGCTCAGGTCATGATCCCAGGGTCCTGGGATCGAGCCCCACATCGGGCTCCCTACTGGGCGGAAAGCCTGCTTCTCCTTCTCCCACTCCCCTTGCTTGTGTTCCCTCTCTCGCTGTCTCTGTCAAATAAATAAAATCTTTAAAAAAAATAAAAAAATAAAACACATTTGACATATAACTATAAATTTAAGGTGTACATGTTAATGTGATACATTTGTGATATGATTGCCACTGTAGCAATAATTAGCACCTCTATTATGCTACATAATTATCGTTTTTTTCTCTTATTTGGAATAAGTATATTTTAAATTTAAAACTGATCTTGGAATAAACTATTATTTGTAAACTTGTGAATAATCAGCTTTCATCTCTTTTACCGCAAAAAAAAAACAGCAATTAAAATGGGTCTCAGGAACTACAAGTGTGACCAAAAGCCATACTTCCGACTAACGCCACCTCCTTCTATGTGATTTTTGCTTTGTAAAACTTGTATATGGAAGCTAAATGAAACAAAGCAGGAACTACACACAAAATAAGGAAATAAAAACTACATTGTCAAAAAAAAACAAAAAACAAAGCTACATTATGAATAGATGGACCTCATGGTGATTTGTAAAGAGCTACATAAAAATACATGTGAAATAACTTATGAAAATCATACCTTTCATTTTCAATATCTTCTTCATTCTTTAAATACATGGAAAAATCAATCACTCCAACCTAAAGTAAATCATGTTATTTTTAGTTAAAGGGGAGAAATATTAAAAGTACAGTTAACATGCAACTGAATTTCATTCTTAATTTTTCTTCAGTGTTTAACAGTACTGTTTACAACTGGATCCAAGAGGAACAGCGCAAACTAAAAACACTGCATTTGGTACGAGTCACTTTCACTTACTTGTGAGTCTAAATCTTCTCCCTTTACACACAGGTTAGCATCTATCACATTCAGGCCAACCAGGAGCCCAACAATTACTGCTCCTTCTTCTTCCATCATTAGTGCATGATACTCATAAAATTCACTGTGGAAATTAAAATAAAAACCTTAGAACACAAATTTACTTCAAACACTAAATTTTAAAATCTCAGCCCCATAATATAAACAGGGAGCCCACACAAATTTGGTCTCTTCAAATTAGCCTTTCTATGTGTGAATAATTTAAACATTTTGAAATGTTAATGTCCATGTAAACAAAGTAAAAGAATGGCACTGAAAGAGATTAAAGAGGAAAAGGAATTTTGAGAGAAAGAAAAGAGAAGCAAAGAGATATAGATCAAAAGAAAAAGAGGCATCACTGAGGCCTGGAATGTCTGGGACTCTCAGAAGACTGATTTGATTACAATACTTTTTATTAGAGTTGACTTTTTAATTCTAGGATTAAGAATCTTGGGATGCAGACTAAGGTAGGGAATGAACATATGAAACATTTCCAAAGCCCATGTTCAAATCAGTGTATTTGATAGTATATTGCAAGTGTTGTTAATAATCAATTAAGGATGGTAGGACATCTATATTCTAAAAAATGTTCAAACAGATTTGTGAAAGAAACAGGACAGTCTAAAAACTAAGACTTGACAATTATGTATTCATAGAACTAATTATCACTGTCTCATGCCTTCCTCAAGAAGTCCCATGTACTATTTAATCACTTTAATTGACCTTCACAATATTATTGAGAAATTGCTGGTGCTTAAAGTATGGTCATTCTCATTTAACAAATGGGAAAACCAAGATGTATGACCAGAGTCATAAGTACTACCAAAAATGACCAGGTTCTCCAGAACATCAGACAGGCACTCCAAGAGAATAAGGGCAAACAGAGGGACTGCTATGGGCCACCCCCTCTAACAACTGATTACCGTACTCTGAAAGTCTGTCTTAAACATCTGGCCTTCTATTATTTACTTATTTAAATATTTACTACATGAAGGCAATTTATTCAAGAAGTTAATACTGAAAACAAAAGTTTCAATGGGGGTGTTATCACAGCTATGTTCAGTATTACATTTTTTAAAAGGATGAATCCGTTCCCTGTAAAATAAAAAGCTTCAAAGGTAAACAATGAATGGTCTGAATGGTAAGATGTATTCCTGAAATTGAGCAATTTCCAAGTCAGTGCATAGACCAGGCTATTTATAAGCTCGACTTCCCCCCAACCTCAGCACAATGTCAACTAACAACAACAAGTTAATGTTTTCCAGTCATCTTCATTATACCACTTAATTGCCAGCACTCACTGGCCTTCAGTTGACAGTTTAAAAAGTGCCCACGATACGGACAAAGCAACAGCTTAGACACTCAGGATCTAAAACCTATTGGGCGCCTGTGTGGCTCAGTTGATTAAGCGTCAGACTGTTGATTTTGACTTTGATCTCAGGGTTGTAAGACTGAGCCCCATGTGGGCTCCGCCCTGGGGGAGTCTGCTTGGGGTTCTCTCTCCCTCTGACTCTGCACCACCCACCATGTTCCTCTCTCAAAAAAATAAAAAAGAAACTTGTCAGATTAAAGCTCCCAATCCCAATACAGATTTTTATTTGTAGAATTAACTGTAATTTAGAAAAAAAATAAAACTAGCTTAGAAATAAAACATATAAATAAGTTTTCCTCTTATTGGTCAATACAAAGGTTACGGTATTCAGTTTTTAGGCTAGTTCCTGATCCATGTTATGTCCCTACGTGATTTTCTCTCTCATGTTGCTTTTTTTTTTAATGCCACCTTACTGTATTTTATATATCCTTTTGTACTACATCTTTAATTCTTTTTGGAAAACAGGATATAAATGAAATTTTAAAAATGGAAATGAACATGACTTAATGGTACTAACCTTAAGAGATCCCTCTGAATAATTAAGCAACGCAGGTAATCAGCCATTTTTTTTTGCATGAGGGCTAATCGAAGCCATGCTCTTGCACGACCCAGGGGGGTCCTAAAAAGCAAAACCAACTGGTCAGAAGACAGTCTCAGTCCATATATTATGAGACTACATATTCTATCTCTGTCAAGGTTCATATTAATAAAGGAAAACTGCAATTTATCATGGTTTTGTCTGTTTCTATAGGTGGTTTGTTTTGTTTGTTTCTACAGTTTTTTAAGCCAGCTCTTTGTGCATGCAAACCAATCCCTGGGAGCTATTTAAGTATCTAAGGTAAACCTGCACCTACAGGACATCTAGGTATCTTTTATGCCTTGGAAGAAATGACGCTCTAAATACTGAGGATTATCTCTACAAGAAATATTTTGACGGAATGGGCTTAACTGTCTAAAGATGAATATGTAAGGTGCACCTGGCTGGCTTAGTCAGTAGAGCATGTGATTTTTAATCTGCAGATTGTGAGTTCAAGACCCGCACTGGGTGTAGAGGTTACTTTTTTTTTTTTTTACTTTTTTTCTTAAGATTTTTAAAAAACTTAATTTTATTTTGTTATGTTAATCACCATACATTACATCATTAGTTTTTGATGTGTTGTTCCATGATTCACTGTTTGAGTATAACACCCAGTGCTCTATTCAATATGTGTCCTCTTTAATACCCATCACCAGGCTAATCCATCCCCCCACCTCCCTCCCCTCTAGAACCCTCAGTTTGTTCCTCAGAGTCCATAGTCTCTCATGGTTCGTCTCCCCCTCCGATTTCCCCCCTTCATTTTTCCCTTCCTATTTTTTTTTTTAACATGTATTATAACATTTTAAATGTATTATTTGTTTCAAAGGTGCAAGTCTGTGATTCATCAGTCTTAAAAATGGATATGCAAGGGGCGCCTGGGTGGTTCAGTCGTTAAAGCGTCTGCCTTCAGCTTGGGTCATGGTCCCAGGGTCCTGGGATCGAGCCCCACATCGGGCTCCCTGCTCGGCGGGAGGCCTGCTTCTCCCTCTCCCACTCCCCCTGCTTGTGTTCCCTCTCTCGCTGTGTCTCTCTCTGTCAAATAAATAAATAAAATCTTAAAAAAAAAAAAACTATTAAAAAAATGGGTATGCAAAATGCATCAAATAAAGCAATATAATGCCTTCAAAAAGTAACTGACATGATATCCGAATTTTAAAAATCCTAACTAAAAAAAAAAAATCCTAACAAAGCTAGGAGGGCACCAAGCTGGTAATCAAAAAGAGAGAAATCACCAGGTTGCTTGTTATTTTTCAAATGTTTCTCTAGGGGGTTGTCCTTAAAAAATTCAATCTCCTACCTCTTAAGTTTTATCATTTAGTAAAAGTAAAAGCAACTTTTACAGAATATGTATGGTTTTTCAGAGAAAGATTATCATTCACACTTTTATGTTTTCTTATACAAAGAATGTTTTGGCACGTAGTGTAGGAGGTAAGTTAATCTTCACTACTAACAGCTAATGAGCTTCTTACGGTTTAGCAGTTGAATGAATACCATTGTTCAGAAAACATTTTTTATTTTTGAAGAGTTAGGCTTTTTAAAAACAATTTGAACGTATATTTTCATATTAAAATGACCAAATCTTATATTTCTCTTTTTGAAGATTTTTTTTTTTAAGATTTTACTTATTTATTTGACAGAGAGGGAGGGAACACAAGTAGGGGGAGTGGGAGAGGGAGAAGCAGGCTTCCCGCCGAGAAGGGAGCCCGATGTGGGGCTCGATCCCAGGACGCTGGGATCATGACCTGAGCCGAAGGCAGATAGATGCTCAACTGACTGAGCCACCCAGGCACCCCTTTAAGATTTTATTTTTAAAGTAATCTCTATACTCAACGTGGGGCTTGAACTCACAATTGAGAGATAAAGAGTCACATGCTCTACCAACTGAGCCAGCCAGGTGCCCCTTCTATTTCTCTTTTTGAGAGTTATAATTCCCTTTTTCTTCTGTCTTTGCTAAAGATCACTACACCTAATATACCATTATAAGAAACATCAGCTGTGAACATCACTTCCTATTTCATTCTAAAAACTAGGTTTGAGGGACATCTGGTTGGCTCACTCAGTCAAGCATGGAATTCTTGATCTCAGCGTCATGAGTTTAAGCCCCACATTGGGCGGAGAGATTACTTACAAAAATAAAATAAAATTTAAAAACTGGGTTTGAATCCTGGCTCTGCCACTTTTTAACTGTTAACTCCTCTGACCTTTATTTTTCACATCTATGCAATTATTATAATAATCTCTACCCTGTAAGACTGATGTAAGGACTAAATGAGATAATTCATGTAAACCAATTATTTTATTACCCTGAGACAGTGCTTAACAAATAGTAGCCATTTACTTTTATCATTCAATTAAATACAACCTGGAAATATTTGGATGTTGTGTTAACAGCCAGAAAACACTACCATAGGCGCGCCTAGGTGGCTCAGTCGGTTAAGCGGCTGCCTTCGGCTCAGGTCATGATCCTGGGGTCCTGGGATCGAGCCCCACGTCGGGCTCCCTGCTCAGCAGAGAGCCTGCTTCTCCCTCTCCCTCTGCCTGCCTCTCTGCTTACTTGTGCTCTCTATCTCTCTGTCAAATAAATAAAAAATAAAATCTTTAAAAAAAAAAAAAAGAAAACACTACCATATTCCCTACAACATGTAAAACCCTCAGGTGCCTGGGTGGCTCAGTTAAGCGTCTCCCTTCAGCTCAAGTCATGATCCCAGGGTCCTGGGATCCAGTACCACATCAGACTCCCCGCTCAGCGGGAGTCTGCTTCTCCCTCTGCCCCTCCCCCTGTGTGCTGGCGCTCTCTCGCGCTCTCTCTCACGAGCTCTCTCTCTCGCAAAAATAAAAAATCTTAAAAAAAAAAAACAAAACTGTAAAACCCTCAATTATAAAGCTAAGAGAAAGCAAACTGGAAATCTGACAGAAAATGCTAAGAAAAAAAGGTTATCTCATTCACAAGAATTAAGATAAACTAAAGGAAAGCATAAGAACTTAGCCTTAACAACACCTTTATGCCTTTATTCAGTTTTTACAACATTTTATATATATTTGTCTAGTGAAATGGGCAGGTGACACTATAGGTCCCAATTTTTAGAGAAAGAAAAGTAATTTGCACAAGCCCCATATATATAAATGGCTTATCTGAGAATTCTAATCTCCTGAGCCTTTGCCCTGGATTTAGTCTAAATCAGTCTTCAGGGGCGCCTGGGTGGCTCAGTCTTTGGGTGTCTGCCTTCGGCTCAGGTCATGATCCCAGGGTCCTGGGATCAAGCCCCGCATCAGGCTCCCTGCTCAGTGGGAAGCCTGCTTCTCCCTTCCCCACTCCCCATGCTTGTGTTCCCTCTCTTGCTGTGTCTCTCTCTGTCAAATAAATAAAATCTTTTAAAAAGTAAATAAATAAAAATAAATTAGTCTTCAACAAATAGTTATTGGCTGCCAACTAGCTTACTACCGCAAAACCAGCTTAACATTCAGGAAACAAATGCATAATTGATACATCCTATCTTAAAGGGACCTGCTGTTTCCTGCAATACAATGTAGAATCAAAGTGATATAATCAAGGAGTGAATATAGTGATAGGGTATAGAAGAAAAAGCAGTTAATTCCTACTGAAGGGACTAAGAGAAATTTCATAAAGGAAATGAAATTTGAACTGAGATATAAAGAACAGAATTTTATTAGGAGAGAATGGAAGAAGGCTACTTAAGGCTGAGAGAAGATAATAGAGTGTGAAGTACTTTCAAGAAACAATAAATATATCTCTGCGGTTAGAAATGAACAATAAGCTTACTTACTTAAGACCAGGTAAATCCCGGACACTGGCTCCTATTTCCTCTGCTTCTGGGTATAGCTTTTCCACCAGTTCCAAGGGGCCCCAGATAGTTTTGTTATAACTCAAAAATGATTTTCTTACTGAGAAAAAAAAAAAGTATATATAATGCATACAACTTCAACATATAAAACTGTCATAACTTCCTTTTATTTAGTTTCAACATTTCTAACTTAAAATACAGTTATTCAAAGACCTTCCGCTCTTGCCACTACACAGTCCTGTGGATCAGGAACCTGTCCATCAGGATCCTAATATTTTTCCTTATCAGAAATATGCAAAAAAAAAAAAAAAAAAAGAAGAAGAAAGAAAATATGCAGCTTGGCCATTCTTCCTTATCAGAAATATGCAGGCAGGTAATTAAAGTAAAAAAAAAAAAAAAAGGGCCTTATTCTTTACCAGTACCAAAATAAAAAGGCTGGCAGCCCTGGCAGGTTGATCTTTATCAGTTTATTAAATAAACCAAGGACAAATAAAAAGTTATTTTACTCTTAACATGGAAAAATTGTGACTTACTTTATACTGAGAATCAGGTGATATAAAACCATGAAATCACTATACATTTCTTTCTTAATACTGACCAGATCTCCTGCAGATCAAGGGCGCCTATCATAAGCACCACCCAAGGACAATCACCACCATAGGCAAATTTTCCTTGGGGGATAAAAAAAATCAATCAGTACAAACTAGCTTCACAATGATTCATCAAGACAAGCCTATGATATGACTGTTAGGACATGCCTTATGATATTTTGTCAAGCAAAGGAATTTTAAACTCAGGGAAGAGCTTAAAATTTAACTGTTTGGCCATCATTTAGCAAACTCCATTTCTGCAGCCTAAGGGAAAACAAAGATAAAAAGTTTTTCAAAAAGCAAACTAAAACTCAAGGTGTTACTGGGGCGCCTGGGTGGCTCGGTTGGGCGACTGCCTTCAGCTCAGGTCATGATCCTGGAGTCCTGGGATTGAGTCCCACATTGGGCTCCCCGCTTGGTGGGAAGTCTGCTTCTCCCTCTGACCTCCCTCTCTCACTCTCTAATAAATAAAATCTTTAAATAAATAAATAAATAAAACTCAAGGTGTTATTAAAATTTTAAAAAAATGTTTAAATGTGTGTTCGTTTTTTTTTTTTAATTTATTTATTTGACAGAGACGCAGCTAGAGAGGGAACACAAGCAGGCGGAGTGGGAGAGGGAGAAGCAGGCCTCCCGCAGAGGAGGGAGCCTGACGCGGGGCTCGATCCCAGGACCGTGGGATCATGACCTGAGCCAAACGCAGTCGTTTAACGACTGAGCCACCCAGGCACCTCTAAATGTTTTTAAAAATTAAAAAAAAAAAACTAAAACTAAAACCAGAAAAACCCTTAAGGTTATTAGATCAGACTGGTGAGTTCCTGGTGTATTGAAAGCAGCAGAAATTGATAATATCAAGAGCAGGCAAAAATGTGGGGAAACAAACACTAACATCCACTGATGTTTGATAAATCCATGAAGGCTTCATAGAGTCCAGTTGCCTATATCCTTTGACCCAGTAATTCTACTCCTAAGAACCCTATCCTAAAGAACAAGTATACAAACAGCACAATTTTAATGGTAAAAAACTGGAAACAACCTAAGGGTACATTAAGAGGAGGGCAGTTAAGTAAGTTTTGGTATACATATACTATGCATTTTACAGAGTCATTAAAAACGTGATAAAGCCTCTATGTGAATGGAAAAACCTCCAAACCATATCAATTTTAAACAAAGTCACAGAATAATAATACTTATAGCATAATTCTATGCAGACTAAAAGAAAAAAAATGGAAAAGAGAAGAATGACAAGGATTCCCTTTAGGGGAATGAATGGAAGAGAATGAAGGAAATGGTTTTTGCTCTAGGTACTTCTATGTTGTTTGATTCATGTACAAAGAGTAGATTTCACCATTATATAATTTTTTAAAAAATTACTGTCTTCAATTAAAGAAATAGTGGAATCTAAAAAAACAAAACAAGGGGCTCCTGGGTGGCTTAGTTAGCCTCTGCCTTCAGCTCAGGTCATGATCCCAGGGTCCTGGGATTGAGCCCCACATAGGGCTTCCTGCCTGGAGGGAAGCCTGCTTCTCCCTCTCCCACTGCTTGTGTTCCCTCTCTCATTATGTATCTCTCTGTCAAATAAATAAATAAAATCTTTAAAAAAAATAAAAATAAAAACAAAACAAAACCCAAACGCAAATACAGAGAACAAATTGATGGCTGGCAGAGGGGGTGCGGGCAAGAGGAAATGGGTAAAGGTGGTCGAAAGGTATAAACTTCCAGATATCAAATAAATAAGTCATAAGGATGTAATGTACAGCATGAGGACTACAGTTAATACTGTTGTATATCTGAAAGTTGCTAGGGAGAGTAAATATTAAAAGTTCATCATAAAAAAATTTTTAACTGTGTACAGTGATGGATTATCAACTAGACTTACTGTGATCATTTTGCAATACATAAAAATGCCAAATCATTATGTTGTGTACCTGAAACTAATATGTTAATTATATCTCAATAAAAAATTTCAATTTAAAAAAAAAAAGAGATGGCCGCCACCCTCGTGACATCATAGATGACATCAACAGTGGTGCGGTGGAATGCCCAGCTAGTTAACTACAAAGCAAAATGTTTCAATAAAGGATCATTTGACAACTAGTGGAAAAAAAAAAAAAGGAAAAAAAAAGAAATGAGTAATAATATCACATAGGGTTTCTCAAATTTTGATGCCAAGGCTCCTTTGGCAGTACATTTTATTAAAATTTGAAGTACATTTTATTAAAACCATGTTTATGTAAATCTCCTTTTGTGCTGTTTACATTTACTCCCACTTTCATGTACCTTAGTCAGAACTTCTGGGCCTTCCCAACTTACCCAGGTTCCTAGTATACCCACAAGGAACCAAGCTTCTTTTAGCTTTAGAACAGTCACTTTACTATAAACTCTTACATAGGGGCGCCTGGGTGGCTCAGTTGGTTAAGCGACTGCCTTCGGCTCAGGTCATAATCCCGGAGTCCCGGGATCGAGTCCCACATCGGGCTCCCTGCTCAGCAGGGAGTCTGCTTCTCCCTCTGACCCTACCCCCTCTTGGGCTCTCTCTCTCACTCTCTTTCTCAAATAAATAAAATCTTTAAAAAAAATAAACTCTTACATAGCCCTCCACACAGCTGATCAAAAGAACTAGACACCAAAACTAACAACAACTGTTTTTACAATAAGTAAAAGAACAGTTATTATAGGGGCGCCTGGGTGGCTCAGTCGTTAAGCGTCTGCCTTCGGCTCAGGTCATGATCCCAGTGTCCTGGGATCGAGCCCCGGGCTCCCTGCTCAGTGGGAAGCCTGCTTCTCTCTCCCTCTCCCACTCCCCCTGCTGTGTTCCCTCTCTCGCTGTGTGTCAAAAAAATAAAAATCTTTAAAAAAAAAAAAAATTATTATACAATGTATAATAACTAAATCTAACATAAACATTTTACATGAAATGATAAATCAGTGCCAACTGTGTAGAAGAAAATATCCAGTATTATCATCATTCCCAGGGAGCGCTTACATTTCTACAATAATCCAATCCAAAAGACAGTCTTTCTAGATACATTCCAGGGGGCCAATGAGGTTTATATTTCAACAATTATTTTACTTATTTGTTCAATAGGGCTCAAACTAGTAATAAGACTTCATATTGGAATCACTAAGCTTAAAAATTTTTAAATAACTCTGTAACTGTCCTAGAAAATAGAAATCAGTTCAGAGTATATTGAGAAAAAATGAAAAATCACATGTTTTTACAAAACACTAACTGGGCATTCTCTGAAGACAACTTATTAGAAAACATAAAGCAGTGGGCTATTCTCTCCCCAAACCAACCCACCCAGTAATTTTAAATGTAAAGTAACAATTATGGTCTCAACAAATACACATTTTCAAGGATGTTTAAGACAGAAATAGTGGGATTCTAAACTTAGTTTTTTAAAATCTCAGGATACCTTTAAGACCGTGTTTCAGACAATGTTCCATAACAACAAAGAACTGCTGCAAGGGGGGATAGTCAGAATCCAAAGTGCGGCCAAAGCTTAGAGCAGATTCAATGAGTCCTTTGATACTCAATTTAGCCATGTTTAACAAGTTTGCTCTCTCTACAGCTGTGGGGTCTTTTGTAGCTGAAAGCACAAGAAAGGAGTCCAACATCATTTGCAAGACATGACATTAAAAAATACACAAACCCTTTCATTCCCCTATAAAAACAATGGTTTTTTCTTGGTTGACAAATTAGTCTCCCTAACTAATCCACACCCCTAGGTAACTTCTCTTTATGTCTCTCTCACACATACCACAGAACACTACCATGCCCACCCCAGACAAAGTTTATGAATTATCCTCAAGATCTTGCACCTTGGTTATTTTCTGGTATTTATTTTACTTTTGTGGTACGTCTTCAAAGAGAACGAGGTTTTTTGGTTTTATTTTTTTTTGACTTTTTGTGGAAATAAAATTGGAGTAATAAACAACATATTTAAGAGTCTCGTACAAAAGGTGGACAGCAGGCACAGTCCAAGGATGAATCTCAAGGCAAAAAACGTTCAGAATAAACTGGAAATAAAAGGTGGTTACAATTCCAAGATTACAGTATCATCCATAAACATGATGGGTTAAAACACACCGACAAATAAAGGAATACAGGAGAAGCCATTCAATTCTTTCACTCATTTTAACCCTCTTTCCATCTTTTCTCACTGCAACTGTAATTCTGTATTGCATAACTCCTTCATTTTCCCAGAGGAAATAAAAGCAGTCCTGTTTCACATTTAAGTTCCTTGCCCACACAGCTGATTCAGTCAAAAACTAATAGATGCACTTAAAAAAAAGAAAAACTGATTGGTAATTGACACTTTCAATTCACAAAAAGCTATTTTTTTCTTTCCCACAAATTCCATCCTTAGGTAACTTAGAAATTCAGATGTTCCCGCATATTCTCGCCACTGTTCCCACATATTCTCACCATTGCTGTGACTGGCAGGAATATTTTCAGCAAACAGATGACAAAATGAAGTGCAGAAAAATGAAGCACTTAGTATAACGTTTCATAATCTCTGGCAAATGTACTAGTCCAAGTGAACCAAGTGTTTTTCCCTCACTGAACAAAAGTCCAGGGTTCCCAATTATCTAGTATTCGAGTTCTGAGCTGAGAGCTAAGCGCGAAGCCTGACACGGAATCCTAAGCCACTAAAAATGCCAACAGCCACAATCTCTATGACCAAGCTAGCTGGTGGAAAATCTGCACACACATCATTCCTTCAAATCTGCATCGTCGTATGATTCCCTCTTTTTTTCGGGGGCGGGGGGGAACTACTTGATGTTTCATAATCTGTACCAATCCTTTTTCTTAACAGTGCCCATTACAATCCGCGACTTGCGATGCGACAAGCTGACAAAGGGCGCATCTGCAGCTGTTCCGAGGCGGGTCCGTGCTGGGGGCCGGCAGCTTCCTCGCCCCAGGAGCGTTTACACGCCGGCCGCACCCCGCCCGGGCTCGCAGATGTGTCGTGCTGGTCGCAGCCCCAACAAGGCCAAGGGCCAGTCCCCGCATTTCGCCCGGGCCTGGAGCCCCCTCTCTGCCTCCCTTCCTCCCCGCAGCAAGGCTGCCCAAAGGGCTCGGGGCGCCCAAGGACCCCCGCGGAGGGCTCACCCGGGGTCCTGCGCGGCATCGCTGCACCTCTCCCGCCCTCGGCTTCCGGCATCCAGGCCAAAACCTGAGACGCGTCTTCCCTCCGCCACCCCCAAACCTGAAAAGTCATTGCCCGTCCCCGACTGTTCCACCGAACCGGGAGCGGCCCCCCGGCCGGCCCTGTCTTCGCCCCTTGGAAGCCGTCTGACCGCGAGCCCTCGGCCATTAGGTCCTAGAACCGGGGCGGGAACCTGAAGGAACGGGGGGCGGCCGCGCGTTGCCATGGCGACCCCGGGCGCCCCCGAGTCCCCCGCTGCCCCCGCCCAGCCCCAGGCCCGGGTTCGGGCTCCAGTTGCTACCCGAGGCCTCGGTGCCCACCACCACCAGTCCTCGCCCGGCCGCGGCCTTCAGCCTCGGACGGAGAGCGGGGCGTCCCCTCTCGGTCCGCTCCCCTTACCCATGGCGGCGGCGGCGCGGTCTCGGGCGGGGACGCCCTGGGCCCCGCCAGCAGCTTCCTTCAGGCGCGCGGCGGCCGCCACGGCGTCTGCCACCAGGCCCGCCGCGGCCCACAGCGCTCCCGGCGGCGGGAGGACGCCCGGGCTGTCCCGCGGCGCCGCGAGTAGGGCGGGGGGCCGCGGGGTCTGCAACCGGCAGGAGAGAAACCCGCCCTCGCCAGGCCTCCTCGCGTCCAGCTGGACCGGAAGGAGAAGGAAGAGGAGCGGGAAGGAGACCTCGCGTGTGAGGAGCCGGAGGCCCGGCCCTGGTCGGACCACCGACCTCTCACCCGGGGGCTTCGCCGGGGCGCTGGGGCTGTCTTGCCACGGGGTGCGAGCCACGTGCAAACGTTTTCGTCCACGCGGCGCCGGGGTTCATCTGATACACCTGACCGCTTCCCTTCACGCTTCACAAGGTCTTAGGGGAGCAAAGGAATTTAGAAAACCTGAAGCAATTAACAGGGGGCAGACACCTGCTGCAACTAGGCAGCCCAAGCACGGCATTTAAACCAGTAAATGCACGGGCCGTGGGAAGGGCCGCACTTATCAAGGGACAGACGTGTAGAGATAAAGCTAGCCTTTTCTCATTTCAGGGAGGAAAAAAACCCTCGTGGTCAGGTGACACTAGGTTAAGCTATATCAGTTTGGGAAAAGTAAGCTTTTACGTAGTTAATTAGCAATTGTTAAGACAGTGGCTGAGCTAGAAAGACCGAGATATTTCGGCTCTTTTTCTCTTCATCACCTCAGCCAGTATAGTTTTATGTTTCTTTACCTCTTTTGGTTTTTTTAATTTTCTTTACTGTGAGATAATGATACATGGAGAAAAAAAGTATAAAACAAACTGTAATGAGCAGGCTATGAAGGTGCACACACGAGTCTCCTCTCCACAATGTCAGCTTTATTCAGTCACAAAGCAAAGTTAACATAATTATAAAGCAAGTTCAGGATTTCAAAGTCAATGACATTTCACCATGTGATTAACTTGGCTTCTTCCTAGGCACACAAAGCGGAAACAAGTCACACAACAAAAGATAACAGGGAGTAGGAAGTTAAGGAACTGAACAAGTTAGTCTGTGGGTGCCCAGCTGAGGTAAGGCCTCATCTTGTCAGGGTCACCTCCAGGCACTTACTGCTTATTAAGTTCTGTTCTGATCAATTAAGCAGAGCCTTCAGCTGTAGCTACCTTTTTATTTTTTTTTAGTATTTTATTTTATTTATCTGACAGAGAGAGGGAGAGTGAGCGAGCGCACAAACGGGGAGAAGCAGACAGAGGGAGAGGGAGAAGCAGGCTCCCCAGTGAGCAGGGAGCTGGAGGAAGGGCTTGATCCCCGGATCCAGGGATCATGACCCAAGCCTAAGGCAGAACTGCTTAACCGGCTGAGCCACCCAGGCGCCCTAGCAGCTGCCTTTTTTGAGCGGTCAGACATAGAGGGTGTCTGAGGAGTATGACAGTTTGCTAAAAAAAATCCTCCCTTTGTAACTAATGATGTACTATATGTTGGCTAAGTGAACCTAATAAAAAATTTTTTTAATTTAAATTTAACAAAATTTTAAAAAGAATAAATCTGCTGGCCTATAAAAAATAAAACAACCAAAAACCTCCCTTTTTAAAAAAGGATTTAATCAGTCTCGGGCCCCTGCAGAGCTCCTCTGCTTCAGCTTGTTATCAGTTCTGGGGTACCATCGGCTGGTGTTGGTCTTGGTGTGGGTATCTGATTAATGCAGTACCCTTAAGTGCTTGGTCATTGCTTGACACGGGCCCTTGCTTGACATGACTCCACCTTGCTCTCTACATACAGTTTAAAGAATCATTATAAAGTGAACAGCTGGGTGACCACCGCCAGATAAACTGAGCACAGGATGGAGCCATCGTCCTTGGGAATTACCCCTAGCCACTACTCACCATTCCCCTTGAGGTAAATACCATTCTGGCTTTTATGAGAATCGTTTCCTTGCTTTTCTTTCTGCCTTGCAAGTATCTGCCCCTAAACCATGTAATTTATTTTTATCTGTTTATAAACTTTTCACAAATGGGGTAACACCATAAATTTTGTTGCTTGTTTCTTTTGTTAACATCATCCATGTCCAAGAGAAGTTCCAGGTTGGGGTGTTTCAAAGTTGTATATATATCCTTATGCCAATGTCCAAGAGAGTCGTTAGAGCATATAATTTAGAATAACTGAAAATAGGGCGCCTGGGTGGCTCAGTTGGTTAAGCAACTGCCTTTGGCTCAGGTCATGATCCTGGAGTCCCGGGATCGAGTCCCACATCGGGCTGCCTGCTCGGCGGGGAGTCTGCTTCTCCCTCTGACCCTCTTCCCTCTCGTGCTATCTCTCATTCTCTCTCAAATAAATAAATAAAATCTTTTAAAAAAAAAGAATTAACTGAAAATAAGGTCTGCCTTTCTTTAAATTCATGGGCGGGACGCCTGGGTGGCTCAGTAGGTTGAGCATCCGATTGATTTTGGCTCAGGTCACGATCTCAGGGTCATGAGAAGGAGGACCCTGCTGTTGGGCTCCCACACTCAGCAGGGAGTCTATGGAGATTCTCTCCCTTTCCCTCTCCCTCGGCCCTCCCCCTCTCATGGTCTCTCTTTCTATAAGTAAATAAATTTTTTTAAATTTTTTATTTAACATATAATGTATTATTTGTTTCAGGGGTAGTAAATAAAATCTTAAAAAAAAAAGTTACAAGCTTTATCTTTCATATTTAGGCCTGTTATTGCACCCAGAATTGATTTTAGTGAATGGTGTGGAACAGGATCAAACTTCATTTTTTCTACACGTATAGCCAACTATCGCATTATCCTCTCACCACTGATCTTCCATACTGCCTCTAGTATCAGTGAGCATGTAATTATATATCAGTTCCTAGGCCAAAGTCTTTTCATTTTCAAAACCACCCCATGAGGATGGAATTGTCTCCACTTTGCAGATTAAACTAACCTCTGAAAGGTTAAATGACTTCAGAAAAACTAAGTGACAGAACCAGAATTTGAACCAATACAAAAGTAGCGTCAATTTCCATAATCTCAAAATGTAGGTTTTTAGTGTTTCAAGGAGTCTAAAACTCATTGCATGTCTAACCCCTTCCATCTTGCTATTAAACATTGAAATATGACTGACTTGTTCATTTTTCTTCTCCAAATGATGGGTAAAAAAGGAAGTATTTGTATTTTATGTACATTTAAAAAAGCATATAAAATTAAGTATATATTTACTTTACAGAACCATGAACAAAGGAAAAGAGCTTTATTTCCTAGATTGCTTTTCCCACAGTGACTTCACATGTAAAAAGTAGGAAAGAAATTAAACTCATCAATAAACCAGTTTTATTTAAAGCAAGCAAGCAAATAAATAAATTCTCCCTTTGAGGTAGATATTCTTAAATTCCAAAATATACATTTGCTGGATACTCCAGTCTCCTTATGTTGAACAGAAATGGAATTTAATGCCTATGTTTAAACTAAATGAACAGGGTTAAAGTAGAATATTAATCTATTCTGAGCCCTGAATTTACTAAAGCTAACAATTTAGGTTTTTAAACTCACTAGTATCATCATGTAACAAAAATACTATTTTTGGGGGGCCACCTGGGTGGCTCAGATGGTTAAGCGTCTGCCTTCGATTCAGGTCATGATCCCAGAGTCCTGGGATCAAGCCCCACGTCTGGCTCCTGGCTCAGCGGGGAGTCTGCTTCTGCCTCTCCCCCTGCTCATGCTCTCTCTCTCTCTCTATCTCGAATGGATAAATAAAATCTTTAAAAAAAATACTATTTTTCAAAAGCTCATCACATACTGAAATATAACGGTGAAATTAAATGATACCTAGAGTTTGCTCTGAAACATCTCAGCAAAGGGAAAAAAAAGGATGTTGACAAAACAACTGCAGCAAAATCTTCTACCTACTGAATATGGATGATGGGTATATAGGAGTTCACTATTTTATTCTACTTTTGTGTATTTTTTACATGTGATACACCCTAATATTTTTCACTCTATTCCACTGAAAACAAAGCTTGTTGCAACCTATTAACATTGCTTTCATGTGCCAGTAATAGGTTGAGAACCATGGTTTGTAATCCATGGCCTCTCATACTTCTTGGATATTTCTTGAAACTATGCTAAATTATTTTTGCTGTTCCCTGTACATGTCTTTTCCTTTTCCCATTTGTTGTACCCCCTATCTAGATTTGTCTATTCCTCCATTACAATTTATGCAATTCTATCCAGTCTTTACCAGACTTTAATATGTTACCTTCTCCAAAAAGCCTTTTCAGATTTTTTCCCTGCCATAAAAAAGATTTTCATGTTTATGCTATTATAATAGTACTTATATGCAGCTTTAGAACATTATCAACATTTGACTTTTTACTACTTGAAAAAATGCTGGACAACCCTGAACTTAATTATTATTCAAGATTAATAACTGACACACTAAGGCGTAATAGAAAATGATTTATTTAATAAAAAACTGCAAGTAATTTTTAAAAAACATGAGGTAGAAACAATTTTAACATATTTCACATTCATTTAAAAAAAGAAAAAACAACTTTGAGAGAAAGAGATATCTGCCCCCCAACCAAAGATGGATACACTGAGGTTAAAATTGGTCACTATATACTTAACTAAGCACTTTGAGGTAATTCTGATTTACAAAAATATCTTTATTCAAAAAAATTGAGACAACTGAGTAGTGTCTCAAAACAAAGGGGCATATGAACAATAGGTGATAATAGGGATATACCGGGGCGCCTGGGTGGCTCAGTCGTTACACATCTGCCTCGGCTTGGGTCGTGGTCCCAAGGTCCTGGGATCAAGTCCCGTTACGGGCTCCCTGCTCAGTGGGAAGCCTGCTTCTCCCTCTCCCACTCCCCCTGCTTGTGTTCCCTCTCTTGCTGTCTCTCTGTCAAATAAATAATAAAATCTTTAAAAAAAAAAAATAGGGATATACATACCTTTTTGTCATCAATTTTAAAAAACTAAAAAAATTTTCTTTTATATCAAAATCTGTAGAATACTGAATACTAAAAATAACAAGTGAGAAAGGGGAATCAGAAATTAATTGGAAATAATTAATTTATAAGTAATAATTTAAAAGCCTAGGTTTAAAGTGAAAATGTACCTTGTACCAAAATGCAACAGTCAGGAGAAAAACCCAAACACAGAAAAGAATCACACTTGTGTTCTCATCATCACAAGATTGTGCTTAAGTGAAAAAACAAATGAATTTTCTTTACCTATCTCTTAAATAAACAAAATATGACAGAAATCTACAAAATCAAATCAGTATTGAAATTTTAGACTTAAAGTTTCTCAGATCCAAAAGTTAATCTATCACTAAAGCTGGTAAAAATTTATCAAACTCTTTCTAGGTCACACAAAAACACATTGATAGTACCTACAAAACTTACACTTTTCAGTTTTGGAAAAACTGAAAAAATTAATAGTGTGTTAAATTTTACACAGTGATAGAACTTTAACAAGACTATACCAAAAAAATAAATAAAACAAAAAACTGGAACTCTCAACAAAGTACATTTACACCATTTCATACCCTTGGGATAAAAGTGATCTTCACAGGGGCACCTGGGTGGCTCAGATGGTTGGGCGTCTGCCTTCGGCTCGGGTCATGGTCCCGGCTTCCTGGGATCGAGCCCCACATCGGGCTCCTGGCTCGGCGGGGAGACTGCTTCTCCCTCTCCTTCTGCCTCTCCCCCCGCTCATGCTCTCTCTCTCTGTCTCTGTATCTCTGTGTCTCAAATGAATAAATAAAATCTTAAAAAAAAAAAAGTGATCTTCACAATCTAGCCAGGCACTGCTTTCATAGCACATCCAAATTGCAAATAACAGGTAATATTTAGAGGAGATCTCATATGCCAGTATGAGAAATCAAAGAAAACAGTGCTTTATCTTCTTTGAAAATCACCCAATACATGACAAAGACTTTCGTGTTCCTCTGATGGAAGATCCATGATGTACAATAAATTAAGGAAAGTATACTTTACAAAAAATGGAATTGCACAAAAATATCTATGACACTATTTAACATTTTGTAATTTGGTTTATAGAACTGCTGAAAAATTTTTTATGGCATTCTACGGATAATAATGTACTTAAACAATAAGGTTTATGTATCTTAGCCTAAGACCTTCATATAATTTTTTTAAAGATGATTTATTTTAGTCATAATCTACAATTATGACAAGGAATAATTCTCCATTTTTTAATTTTCTCAATTTTTTTTAAAATTTTAATGCTTTGTCCTAGATTTTAAAAAGGGGGGGTTATAAATTAGGGTAAGAAGAACCAAAACGGGTAACCACTTTTCCTAGATGTGTTCTAGGAAACATGTACCCTGCCCTAGGACAGCAAATCAAGTCCCTTTTCATCTCCTTTCTCACTTCACAAACTATCCTTCTCCATCACCTTCATTATTTCACTTTTTGCTTAAAATTACTTCCTGTGAGGAGAGCCTGGGTGGCTCAGTTGTTAAGCCTCTGCCTTCAGCTCAGGTCATGATCCCAGGGTTCTGGGATCGAGCCCTGCATCGGGCTCTCTGCTCAGCGGGAAGCCTGATTCTCCCTCTCCCACTCTCCCTGCTTGTGTTCCCTCTCTCACTGTCTCTCTGTCAAATAAATAAAATCTTTAAAAAAAAAAAATCACTTTCTGTGAATTAGTTTCTCTTTTTCCTTTGTAGAATCAGGTCTTTGAAATGTGCCCATGGAAAACACAAAACATTGAGTTTTAATTTATATAAATACATAAATATTCACAATAGCACAGATGTGACCATATACAAAACAAAAAGGATATTAATTTTTCTGAGTTTAGATGATCAAGTAACTTCCCCAACGGAGGATAGCGGTTCAGTGACGGCACACATCCCAGGAGAATCAGTTTATGTTTGGCTCTGGTTATAGCAACATTAAGACGTCGCCAATCTTTCAGGAGTTCACCAAGCTGAAAGAAATAATTTTCAATTATTTGAATTTTCTGACATTTAAGTTTGTTCTAGCAAAGAACACAGTTTGTGGTGAACTATTTCCCTATTAAGCATATATTCCAAAGAAGATTCAGTGACACATTTAAAATTCTTTGGACAGTTGGAAAAACTTGCCCACAATGCCAACTTCCAAATATTTTATCTTGGGTGCAATTTCCGAGCCATAATTTAAGGAAATGGAGCTATCTCCACTCATTGTAGCATTATTGGTAACAGTAATGAAAACCTATAATAGCTTTAGACTCAGGGGAGTGGTTAAATATACCATGACACCTATGTACACTAGAAAACTATGCAACTGTAAGAACACAATGAAGTCTCTTTCTGTGTATTGACATGGAGAGATTTCCAAGCTATTTAAGTGAAAAAAGCAGAGTCCATTAGATATATATTACCATCTGTGTAAAAAAAAAGGAAATATGAATACTGATTCATGTTTGTATATGCCTAAAGGAAAGGAATTAGAGGTTACCCCCCCAAAAAACCCCACAAACTGTACACAACTCAAAACCAAAAAACCCAAATAATCCAATTAAACAATGAGCAGAAGACATGAACAAACATTTCTCCAAAGAAGACATACATGAAAAAATCATTAATCATCAAGGAAATGCAAATCAAACCCATAATGAGCTATCACCTCACACCTGTCAGAATGGCTAAAATCAAAAACCCAAGAAACAAGCGTTGACAAAGATGTGGAGAAAAAGGACCCTTCATGCATTGTTGGGGGAAATGCAAACTGGTGCAGCCACTATGGAAAACAGTAATGGAGGTTCCTCAAAAAATTAAAAATAAAATTACCATACGATCCAGAAATTCCACTACTGGTTACCCAAAGAATACGAAAACATTAATTCAAAAGGATGTACGCACCTCTACTGTAGCATTATTTACAATAGCCAAATTATGGAAGCAGCCCAAGTGTCCAACCACAGATGAATAAAGAAGATGTGATATATATATATAATGGAAAAATACTCAGCATAAAAAAGAATGAAATCTTGCCATTTGCAACAACATGGAAAGATCTAAAGTGTGTAATGCTAAGTGAAATAAGTCAAAGAAAGACAACTACCATATAATTTCACTCATGTGGAATTTAAGAAACAAAACAAATGAACAAAGAAAAAAGACAAACCAAAAAATGGACTCCTAACTATAGAGAACAAACTGACAGTTACCAGAGGGAAGTTGGGCGGGGGGGACCGTGGGTGAAATTGGTGAAGGGGATTTAGAGTACACTTATCATGATGAGCACTGAGTAAAGTATAGGATTTTTGAATCACTATATCTTATACCTGAAACTATAACACTGTATATTAATTATACTGGAATTAAAAAACAAAAAACACCAAACTGTGATTATCTGTAACGGTAAGAACTGAGTAGAAGAGGAACTGGGTAGAATGGAGACTTCTTACTATATCTTTACAACCATATGAAGGTATCACATAATCAAGAAAAATGAATGAAAAGGAGGTAAACATGCAAAACACAAAACCTGGAATTATATATAAAATTAAAAGTATATCTAAGGAAGAGTCTATGCTTAAAATGCCCCTAACACAACAGCCAAAAGGTGGGAGCAACCCAAATGTCCACTGATGGATGAATAAACAAAATATGCCATATACATGCAATGGAATATTATTCAGCCTTAAAAAGGAACAAAATTCTGATACATAATACAACATGGATGAACCTCGAGGACACCATGCTATATGAAATAAGCCAATTACAAAAGGACAAATACTGGAGCACCTAGGTGGCTCAGTTGGTTAAGCGTCTGCCTTTGGCTCAGGTCATGATCTTGGGGTCCTGGGATCGAGCCCCCACATCAGGCTCCTTGCTCAGTGGGGAGCATGCTTCTCCCTCTCACTCTGCCCCTCCCCACCGCTTGTGCTCAAGCACACTCTCTCTGTCTCAAACAAATAACATCTTAAAAAAACAAACAAAAAACCCAAAAGAACAAATACTGTATAATTCCACTTATATAAGATGATTATGGTAGTCAAATTCAAAGACAGAAAGCAGAATGGTGATTGCCAGGGCCTGGAGGGAGAGGGAACTGGAGGGTTGTTATTCGTGGGTACAGAGCTTCAGTTTTGCAAAATGAAAAAGTACCAGAGATCTGCTGCACAATACTGTGCATATACTTAACACCACCGAACTGTACACTTAAAAATAGTGATGATTTTAAATTTTATATTATGTGGGGTTTTTACCACAACCTAAAAAAAAAAAAAAAGAAAAAAATGTCCCAAACAAATCAGCAGAAAATACAATGAACTCACAGGTCCATCTTTATCACTTCTAACAAAAGATACTAGAATGATACTTTTGTCTCTTCCTTGGTATTTGTCTACAGTGTTAACTTCGACCATCCTGATAGAAGAATGGAACAATAAATCATTGATGATCTTTAACTGCTGCCTGTAGGGTGCAATGATACCAATATCAGAGGGTTTACATCCAGCCTAAACAGAAAAGAAACAATGAAAATGAAAATCCTGATTTTTGTTATTTAAGCTTTACTAAATTTATTAAATTACATGTTTACATAATGTGCCTGATTAATGTTTATAAGATTGTCTTGTTGTAAGGAGTAAATACAATTACTAAATTTGCTCTAAATCTAAATCCATATTTCCTGAGATTTAATAATTTCCTCAAACACTGCTCCCTTGATTTCTATAGATTAATGACAGAATAATGGTTTGCATGCCACTAGAACAGTGCTGCCATAGGAAAAAAAAAACACAAAGAAATACATTACACTTTCTGCGATCCCTTACACTGAAGTTTCCAATCCCCAATCACACTGATTCAACCCTATATTGACACAATCAGAATTATCTGATGTTACAAAAAATTACCCTAAGTGGAAACCCAAAATGCCATTATAAAAAATTACATCTTTGATAATTTTCCAAAAATAGAACAAAAGCAATCAGGCTTCAATCCTCTCATGTTTAATGAACAAGGATTAATGCTAGGTCTTAAGTTCCTTGCATTCTAACATTATATTATACTTCATCTTAATATTTATTATCCGTCAAAATTAAATTCTAAATTACCTTAATAAAAATAGAGGTCAGGAAAACTATTAGCTTGGCTTCTGTCATATTGCTCACACCACCCTTTTCAACTTGTTCTGGTGCTGGAACCTAAATAGAAAAAAGAGTTGAGTATGGTCGGTACACAGGTAGCCGTAGAGAACACCTCTGTGGACACAAATGAAAAATATACTTATTTTAAAAGTTGAAGGTACAAGGAAATAAATAAATAAATGTTGAAGGTAAAAAATGAATGACAGTAGTCACCTTTCAGAAAGCCACCTAGAGGAAACCCATCTTAAACATCCTACAGTTCAGATTAAAATCTTTCTAAGAGGGGCACCTGGGTGGCTCAGTTTGTTAAGTGACTGCCTTCGGCTCAGGTCATGATCCCAGGGTCCTGGGATCGAGCCCACATCCCTGCTCAGCAGGGGGCCTGCTTCTTCCTCTCCCCCTGCCGCTCCCCCTGCCTGTGCTCTCCTGCTCTCTGTCAAATAAATAAAGAAAATCTTTTTAAAAAATAAAATAAAATTTAAAAAATAAAATAAAAAATAAAATCTTTCTAAGAGCCAACCACACACTGGGTTTCACATACTTTAGTTTGTTATCCCCTAGTTTACAAGTATCAAAGGTCAGAAAAGATAAGTAACTTGCCCAAGGCCTCACAGTAAACCACAGCAGTAGGAATCAAACTTGGATTGGGCTCTACTCTCCGTGTTCTTGCCGTTTTCTTGTTGCCTTTCATACAAATAATGGAGCAGGTAAAGTTCCCCAGGTTCTAGCATACCTGGTAAAACTCTCTAAGGACTATTTTGCTCCTACATAAGCCTTAAGTAGTCCTGATTATTATTATTATTTCTTTTTAACTTTTTAAAGTAGGCTCCATGCCCAACATGGGACTTGAACTCAAAACCCTGAGATCAAGAGTTGCACGCTCTACTGATTGAGCCAGCCAAGTACCTAATCTTGATTATCTTCAATACCTTTTATTTGGGGGGCACCTAGGTGGCTCAGTCAGCTAAGCATCTGCCTTTGGCTCAGGTCATGATCTCAGGGTCCTGGGATTGAGCCCTGTGTCACTCCCCACTCAACGGACAGCCTCCTTCTCCCTCTCCCTCTGCTCCTCCGCCTACTTGTGCTCTCTCTCCCAAATAAATAAATCTTTTTTTTTTTTTAATTTATGTGAGAGAGACAGCGTGAGAGAGCATGAAAGGGAGAGAAGAGAGCACAAGCACGGAGGAAGGGTAGAGGGAGACGCAGACTCCCTGACAAGCAGGGAGACCAATGTGGGACCCGATCCCAGGACCCTGGGATCATGACCTGAGCCAAAGGCAGAAGCTTAACCAACTGAGCCACTCAGGCACCCAAATAAATAAAATCTTGAAAAAAAAAATTATTTGGAATTCTGATGCTAAGAAAGAAGAAACCTGAGTAGCAAAAACAAAGAATCTGAGTGGTCATTGGTGAGGTAAATAATTATAAATTATAAGTAATAAATTGGAATTGAGGTTTCTAAATGCAGTCATTTGTGAGGTCAGTTTACTGAAAAAATTTCCCAGAGCCCAACTGCCCCGACTTCTTAATCCTTGAACCTGAAATGCTAAGGGCAATATCCAAGAGAATGAAAATTCCACCATGGCACATAGGGTGGGGGTCCTATTTTTATTTATTTATTTATTTATTTATTTATTTATTTATTTTAAAGATTTCATTTATTTATTTGACAGAGAGAGAGCACAAACAGGGGGGAGCAGCAGGCAGAGGGAAAGGGAGAAGCAGGATCTCCGCTGAGCAGGGAGCCTGATGCAGGGTTCGATCCCAGGACCCTGGGATCTGAAGGCACCTGCTTAACCAACTGAGCCACCCAGGCGCCCCTATTTATTTTTAAAGTAAACTCTGGGGGCGCCTGGGTGGCTGTCGTTAAGCGTCTGCCTTCGGCTCAGGTCATGATCCCAGGGTCCTGGGATCGAGCCCCGCATCGGGCTCCCTGCTCTGCCAGAAGCCTGCTTCTCCCTCTCCCACCACCCCTGCTTGTGTTCCCTCTCTCCCTCTCTCGCTGTGTCTCTCTCTGTCAAATAAATAAATAAAATCTTTTAAAAAAATAAATAAAATAAAGTGCCCAACGTCGGTCTTGAATTCATGACCCTGAGATCAAGAGTCGCATGCTCTACCAACTGAGCCAGCCAGGTGCCACTGCAAGTGGGGCCCTATTTTTAATAACCACCCACCATATTAACAAAAGATATAATTATTTTACAGTAATACGCACACATATAATTGGTCACTTATTTTTTAAGATTTTATTTATTTGCTAGAGAGAGCAAGCACACGCATGCATGCGTACTAGCCGGGGGAGTGACAGGTAGAGGGAGAAGTAGGCTCCCCACTGAGCAGAGAGCCCCATGAGAGACTTAAGACCCAGGACCCTAGGATCATGACCTGAGCCAAAGACAGACGCTTAACCAGCTGAGACACCCAGGTGTCCCTGGTCATTATTTTTTTTCTGGTCATGTAAAGACTTCCAAACCAATGCTGAGAAGCACTACATAAAACAAACTGTAGAAATAACAGGGTCAAAACTTTGTTCTTAGTTCCTAGAAATAAGAATCAAGTCATTTAAAGTCCTGTGAAGAGTTTTGTCTAATGATAAGTTTGTAAGGAGGTCTTTATGTGCATATGTGGAGGCAGGAGGTAGTAAATATCTGTACTGTCAGGCGCAATTTTGCTGTGAACCTAAAACTGCTCTAGAAAATAAAGTCTCCATTTGTAAACCCAGCCCTTTGATAATATCAATGCCAATTTCTTTTCTAAGAAATGTAATTATACACTTGAGTTCACTTTCTAGCTTTCCTACTTCAAAAGTCAATTCTCACATCTATTAATCCCCAGAATAAACCTCCTTCCAAAGATACTGGCTCTAGAAATAAGTCAATCAGAGAAAGACATGTATCATATGACCTCACAGATATAAGGAATTCTTAACCTCAGGAAACAAACTGAGGGTTGCTGGAGTGGTGGGGGGTGGCAGGGATGGGGTGGCTGGGTGATGGACATCGGAGAGGATATGTGCTATGGTGAGCGCTGTGAAGTGTGCAGGGCTGTTGAATCACAGATCTGTACCTCTGAAGCAAATAATACATTATATGTTAAAAAAAAAAAAAAAAAGGAAGAAGAAGATAGCAAGAGGAGAAGAATGAAGGGGGGGAAACAGGAGGGGGAGACGAACCATGAGAGACTATGGACTCTGAAAAACAAACTGAGGGTTCTAGAGGGGAGGGAGGTGGGCGGATGGGTTAGCCTGGTGATGGGTATTAAAGAGGGCACGTTCTGCATGGAGCACTGGGTGTTATACGCAAACGATGAACCATGGAACACTACATCAAAAACTAATGACGTAATGTATGGTGATTAACATAACATAATTAAAAAAAAAGATACTGGCTCCATAGAAAGAAAAGAGTCTTTTGTGTTGAAGTATAAGAAATACACTAGTTTTGGGGCGCCTGGGTGGCTCAGTCATTAAGCGTCTGCCTCCGGCTCAGGTCATGATCCCAGAGTCCTGGGATCGAGCCCTGCAGCAGGCTCCCTGCTCTGCAGGAAGCCTGCTTCTCCCTCTCCCACTCACCCTGTGTTCCCTCTCTCGCTGTCTCTCTCTGTCAAAAAATTAAAAAAAAAAAGAAAAGAGCTAGTTTTAACTGAGCTCTATTAAAGCATTTGCTATTAAAAACTGAAGAATTTAAACAACAGGACAAAAGGAGAAAAAACAGAAAATATTCAGGTTTTTTTTTTCTTACCTTGTCTGTATTAAGAAAACAAACAGGATTGTTTGGCTCAAATACTCCAATCATCCAAGGATTTTCAGAATAATCAGCATAAAATTCCAGTTCCAGCTTTACATCTTTAAAGTGAGGTAGGCTGATCACTGCGTTGGCCACTTTGTCTGATCCACACTCCAGCTTTCCTTCATATGTCAGTTTATTACTTAAGGACATAATTTTACTAAGGCAATTACAAAAATAATTTTAGTTTTGGTAGATGAAAATAAACATGAAAATCACTCATAGCTGACACTCTCACAAATACCTGTTCATTCTGTACTGCACGGTTAATTGTACAACAGCATTCTTATTCTGCTCCAGTCTCTTGAATAAGCTTTCACTCATGCCAAGAGCTCTGTCAACAAATCAAATTCAGGTTTATCAGTGCACTGACGTGGTCCCATAAGAAGAATCTAATCTAAAATTAAAACTTCAATGTCTGCTTACCTTGCTTCACTATTTAGCACCAGGGGAGGAAGCTGCTGATGATCCCCCACCAACACAAATCTCCGAGAAAAAAAAAGTGGCCCTAGGCAGACTGGCTGGCTAATTTGAGAGGCTTCATCCACAATACAAAAATCAAAAGTTTTACGAGAAAATATTGGATGGTTTATTCCCATACACGTTGTTGCAACTATACGCTAAGAACAAAGAAAGAAAATAGATGGGTTATCTAACATATCCAAGAAATGTAACTTGTTTTTCCCATATTCTATTTTACTTATTGATTTTAATCTCTATACCCAACGTGGCATTTGAACTCACAACCCCAAGATCAAGAATCGCATGCTCTACCAAATGAACGAGCCAGGTGCCCCGCCATTTTTATTTAAGGTTCAAAAAGATTTTTGTCCCAAACAACAGGAATCCCCCAATATTATTTAATTCTGAAACATTTATAGTATGCAAAAAAATTTAACTTTTTACTAAAAATTGAAAAATCAAGTAAATTCTCTGGACATTCTTAACAATGCTCAAATTTGGATATTTCCAAATGGAAATCTGAAACACTCAAGAGGAAATAAGTTAATTATTTTTTAAGTTTTTATTTAAGTAATCTCTACACCCAATGTGGGGCTCAAACAAGAGTCACATGCTCTTCCAACTGAGCCAGCCAGGCACCCCAATAATTTAATTATTTTTAATTTTGTTTTTTAAAAGATTTTATTTATTTACTTGAGTGAGAGCGCAAGAGAGAGAGTGGGGGGGGAGCCCGACACAGGGCTCAATCCCAGAACCCCAGGATCATGACCTCAGCCAAAAGCAGCCGCTTAATCAAGTAAGCCACTCAGGCGGCCCCAATAATTTATTTTTAAATCTCAATCAGGACTTCACTTCTGGTAAACTGGAGTACTTTTCCTCACTCCTCCCACAAAGTACAACTAAAAACTCTAAACGTTATATATAAAACAAACATAAGAATTCTGAAAGGTGGAGAAAAGGTAGACCATCTAGGGACCTTGGGACCAGAGGAACAGTAGTTTGTTCCCTGGGTTTTCTTTGGCCCTCATATATCCCAACTTTAGAGCTGAAGAATTTAACAACCCAGGAATGCCGATGGGCACAGACCAAAGAAAGCTCAAACAAAAGCCAAAGGAACAGAAAAGGAAAGCCTAGTAGACAGAAAACTTGTATACAATAGCCACTCTACCCTAACCAAAGACCACAGAAAACACTAGTCTTACGCCCCGTTGATGCCAGCAAAGGAACTCCAATATCCTACTGGGGCAGTAACAGAGAAGGCCAAGTAGGGAGCCAGGACTTTAATCCCTGCTGAATGATAATAAGCCCCCAATGTCAGTGGAGACCATGTGGGGAACCTAGACTTTCACCCCTATCCAGCAGTAATAAGGAGCCCCTAATCTTTATGTTAAGAGGCCAAATGGGAACTTGCATTTCAACTTCCACCCAGCAGTAATGAGGTGGGGTACCCTCTTGCCCAACAGACTAGTTGTCAGAGGAAGCCAGCTAAAACAGAAGTATTAAATAACATAATGCAAATGTTCAGGTTTCATCATAAAATATATATAACCAGGGGCACCTGGGTGGCTCAGTTGGTTGAGTGTCCAACTGTTGATCTCAGTTCAGGTTTTGATCTCAGGGTTTTGAGTTCAAGCCCACACTGGGTGTGGAGCCTACTTAAAAAGGGGGGGGGCACCTGGATGGCTCAGTTGGTTAAGCGTCTGTCCTTGGCTCAGGTCATGATCCCCCAGCGTCCTGGGATCGAGTCCCGAGTCGGGCTCCGTGCTTAGCGGAGAGCCTGCTTCTCCCTCTCCCTCTCCCCCTGCTTGTGTTCTCTGTCAAATAAATAAAATCTTTAAAAAAAAAAAAGTACATAGGGGCACCTGGGTGGCTCAGTTGGTTAAGCATCTGTCTTTGGCTCAGGTTATGGTCCCAGGGTCCAGATCGAGCCCCGCATCAGGCTCCCTGCTCTGTCGGGAGCCTGCTTCTCCCCTCCCACTCCCCCTGCTTGTGTTCCCTCTCTCACTGTGTCTCTCTCTGTCAAACAGAAATAAAATCTTTTAAAAAATAAATAAAAATACATAAAAAAAAACATAACCGGGAAAATCTCAAACTGATAAAAAAAAAAAACATGCAATAGATACCAACACCAAGGATGTCAGAGATGTTAGAATTATAGGACAAAGATTTTATTGTTTTTAAGGTCATTTTTATTTTTTTAGTAATCTCTATACCCATTGTAGCACTCGAACTCATGACCCCAAGATCAAGAGTGCATAACAAAGGTTTTAAAGCAGCCATGATAAAAATGTTTCACTGAGCAACTATGAACATACTTGAATCAAATAAAAAATAGAGTCTCAACAAAGAAATAGAGCATAAAAGAAAAAGTAAATGGAAATTTTAGAACTGAAAATATAAAAAATTTTATTTATTTATTCATTTATTTATTTTTAAAGATTTTGTTTATTTATTTGACAGAGAGAGACACAGCGAGAGAGGGAACACAAGCAGGGGGAGTGGGAGAGGGAGAAGTAGGCTTCCCGCTGAGCAGGGAGCCCACCACGGGGCTCAATCCCAGGACCCTGAGATCATGACCTGAGCCGAAGGCAGATGCTTAACGACTGAGCCACCCAGGTGCCCCAAACCTTATTGTTTTTATCCATATTTTTGCTTACTATGTTCTTCCTTCCTGATGTTCCAAATTTCTGTTCTTTTATCATTCCCTTTCTGTTTAAAGATCTTCCTTTACCCATTCTTTTAGGGTAGTAGGGCAACTGGCAACAAATTCCCTTAGTTTCCCTCTCCCTCTGCCTGCTGCTCTGCCTGCTTGGGCTCTCTGTCAAATAAACAAATAAATAAAATCTTCAAAAAAAATAGGTTTTTCATTTCTTCCAAATTATATTTGATGGTTGAAGCAAAAATTAGAACACAGTCTGACGTAGTCTATGTAGGAAAAATATTAAGACAATCATGAACAGGAGAAGATAAGGGACATAAATGGAGGTGACCTTTCTAACTTCACAAGCTCACTAGTAAAATGACAAAAATCAATGGACTATAAGTTATATATATATATAATATAATGCACAAAGCAACACAGCATCCACTAAAAGCTATTCAAAGTGATCACTCAAAAACACTATAGAGAAATCAAAATGGAATTCTAAAAAATGTTCAAGTAAGCAATAAGGCAGGAAAAAGAAAACAATCAAAAAAGAGAGGGGTGCTTGGCTGCCTCAGCTGGTAGAACATGTGACTCGATCTCAGAGTTTTGAGTTTGAGCCCCACGATGGGTGTGGAGATTACAAAAACAAAACAAACAACAACAACAAAAACCATAGGAAACATAAAACAAAGAACAAAAGGGCAGACTTAAGCCCTAACATGTATCAATACTTATGACGAATATAAATGATCTATATGTACCATGTACCTTTTAAAAGACAGGGATCAAAACAATTAGAAAACAAACTGGCAGAGTAGATAAAAAACATCCAGATATCTACTTTATATGAGAAAGTCACTTCAAATTTAATGATATTGGCATATTAATTGAAGGATGGAGGAGGATCACATTGATAACATTTTCTTGCTGAATGATCCTTACATCATGGGAATAAATCCCACTTGTTCACAGCATACAAACCTTCTAATACACTGCTAAATTTGATTTGTGAATATAGTTAAGAACGTTTGCATCAGTCAAATATGCCCAATGGGTGTTTTTTTTTAATATTTACTTATTTAAGTAATCTCTACACCCAATGTGGGGTTCAAACGCATGACCCCAAGATCAAGAGTCACATACTCTTCCAACTAAGCCAGCCAGGTGCCATGGGTTTTTTAACACAGATGCAAAAGCAGCTCAGTGGAGGGATGAATGGTTTTTCAAGGAGTGGTGCTATAACAATTGGACATCATAAGGCAAAAAAATGCACCTTGACCTAAGTCTCACACATCATATAAAAATAATGGTCACAGACTTAAATGTAAAACTTAAAAGTATAAAACTTTTAGAAAAAAAACACAGGAGAAACTTTCAGCATCTAGAGGTAGGCAGAGTTTTTAAACTCGACACTGAAAGCAGAATGCATGAAAGTAAAAAATTTATATACTATACTCTATCAAAATTAAAACTTTTTTTTTTTTAAGATTTTATTTATTTATTTGACAGAGAGACACAGCGAGAGAGGGAACACAAGCAGGGGTAGCGGCAGGCAGAGGGAGAAGCAGGCTTCCAACCGAGCAGGGAGCCCGATGCGGGGCTCGATCCCAGGACCCCGGGATCATGACCTGAGCTGAAGGCAGACGCTTAATGACTGAGCCACCCAGGTGCCCCCAAATTAAAACCTTTTCTACTGCAAAGGCTCCTGTGAGGAACATGAAAAAAAAAACAAAACTATAGAGTGGGAGAAAACATTCACAAATATATCCATTAAAGGACTAACATCTAGAATATAAAAAGAACACTCAAAACTCAACAGTTAAAAAAAAAATCCAAATGGGCAACAGACAGAAAGAGACATTTCACTGAAGAGGATACAGAGATAGCAAATAAGCACATGAAAACATCAATAATTATCATTAGGGATATGCAAATTAAATGCACAATGAGGTATCATTATATACCAGAACGTCCAAAATGAAAAACGGTCACTCCACCAAATGCTGACAAGGATCACTCGTACATTGCTGGTGGGAATGTGGAATGTTACAGCTGCTTTGGAAAACAGTTTGGTAGATTTTTTTTTTTAAGATTTTATTTATTTATTTGACAGAGAGAGAGCGCGAGCACACAGTCAGGGGCAGCAGCAGGCAGAGGCAGAGGGAGAAGCAGGCTCTCTGCCGAGCAAGGAGCCCGATGAGGGACTCCATCCCAGGACCCTGGGATCATGACCTGAGCAGAAGGCAGATGCTTAACTGAGTGAGCCACCCAGGCGCCCCAAAAATAAAATCTTTAAAAAATAAAAATAGGGGCACCTGGGTGTTGTTAAGCATCTGCCTTCAGCTCAGGTCATGATCCCAGGGTCCTGGGATTGACCCCACATCCGGCTCCCTGCTCTGTGGGGAGCGCGCTTCTCCTGCTCCCACTCCCCCCTGCTTGTGTTCCTGCTCTCACTCTCTCTAATAAATAAAATCTTAAAAAATAAATAAAATACAAATAAAAACTTCCCAGAAAAATATAAACATTAAATAATAAAATAAAAACTTCTATATCACAGTCTCAAAGTCTAGAAATACCTATCATTAGACTATTCATGTACCATTGCTTTGAATTCAAACTGGCTAAAAAATTCTGATTATTAGTAGTTTTCTAGGTGTGATATTATAATAATACATGTTTGGTCTTCCTCTGGGTTCCTGACACAGAGCTCCTAAAACCTTTAGAATTTCGGTAGTGTTAGGGGTGAGAGGATTACCTTTTGTTATTCATAATAAGTCCCTTGCAACCATACCTGCATTTATGCTAATGAGAGGATGGGAGCTGGTTGTCAGAGGAACCAACCTAGAGATTAAAGGGTTAGAACTTTCAGCCCCATCCCAACCCCAACCCTTCCACATAGGGAAGGGTAGAGGGGCTAGGGATTGAGCTAATCACCAACCACCAAATCAATGATTTAATCAATCGTGCCTACATGATGGAATCTCCATAAAAACCCTAAACAAAGGGGTTCAGAGAGCTTCTGGGTTGGTGAACACATCATGGTGCTGGGAGGGTGGTTCATCTGAAGAGGGTATAGAAGCTCCGTATCCCTTTCCACATTCCTAACCATATGCATCTCTTCCATTTGGCTGTTCCTGAATTGCATCCTATATAATACATCTTGAATTCTGTGAGCCATTCTAGCAAATTATCGAACCCTAGGATGGGGTCATGGGAACCCTGATTTATGGCTAGTTGTTCTGGTGCACAGGAGGCCCCGGACTTAACTGAGAACTGAAGTGGGTGGTGCAATCTTATTAAGAGGCTGAGCCCTAAGCTGTGGAATCTGCATTAACTCTACTAGTGTCAGGTGCTGTGAGTAGAGAGTAACAAGCATTTTCCATAACTAGGATATTTAAACTAGGAGATGGGAGCCCTGAATAATAAACCAGAAACTTCATTTCAGTTCAAAAGCAAACAGCAAACTATCAATTAATACAACTGGTCAATATAACTGAATTTCCCAGAATGTTTCTCCACTCAGTCTGGCTACTCAGTCTGGTGTTACTATGCAATAATAGTACTTACGTGACTATTGTAGAGTTCTTCCAAAAGAGCTAAAGATTTAATGGACTTGGATCTGCAAATTTCCTCCTCTGTGAATTTCTGGATGTCTTGATGTACCTTCTGAGTCTGACCCAAACGCAAAAATCCTATTTTAAACTTTGCTAACTTCAAAAGAATATTGTCAACAGCAGAGTGTGTATAGCTGGTCAACAAAACACTAAAACCACAGGCATAGAGAATTCTTACCTAATAATGAATAAAAGAAAGGAAAATAACATTACTTTTAATTCCAGATATTAACATGCTTATATTTTTCAAATAGAATCAGAAAACTTAATACGAAGCATATCTTAGAGCTGAGCCAAGGTAAATATTTAAAAAATTATAAAGGCAAAATGTTTTATGAAAATCCCATGGCATTATCTTATTAATTAGTGATATGTTAATAATATTAGTGATAATAAAATTGAGTACAAAATATAAACTTTGAATAGTGCCTGGCACACAGTATCAATCAATCAATATTTCTTGCCATCATTATGATTATTCTAAGATTAGCACAGAAATTTACTGACATGGAAAAAAAATCCCAGAAAAATCTGACACCTCTGTATAATTTATTATTTTTTTAAGGCAAGGAAAACATACAATGATACACATGCCCCCAAATAAGAAAGATCTCAGAGAATCCTAAATGCAAGAAACCTACAACATGATTACAAATTTTTGTGACTTAGCTTTTTATATTTCTCATGTCCTTCTAAAAGGTTAATTTGAAATAAAGCCTTTTGATTTAAAATTCAGCCCTTTTGATAGAAAACATCACATTCTCCAAACTGAGAAGCTGATTTAAATCGTTAGTTTCTAAGCAAAAGAATAATAACCTTACAAGAGTACATATTGTGGTTGTTTTTCCTGTTCCAGGCATACCCACGATGAGTGTGTAGTCTTTTGAAAGAAGTACCTTTTTCATTGCTTGCCTCTGAGGTTTATTCAAGCCTACATTTAAATTTAAAAATAACAGGAAAAAAAATGCTGGATTTCAATGAGCAAATTAACTATAAGAAAAGCAGCCTCTATTCAAGTCTGTTCTTCGATGTATCTTTTTAAAGTAAGAAAATGTCATGGTGATTAAAGTATATATGTAAACTACTTCCCAAGAGAATCTGTCTAAAAATTTTAAGTTTAATAAGTTATAAAAATGCTACACTAGAATGTACTTTGAATTATAAATAAAACCAAGAACAATCAATGGAAGGAGACATGCTGATTATCACATACCTTTTAGAATGCAGGCAACTGTATCCTTTGCATCATATGGAAGAACAGAACTGAGGTAGGATATAAAGTGAGGTTCACGAAAGTCAATGATTAAATCTCGAAGTTTTTGGCTGAAAAGAAAAAAATGTTTTTAGTAATATTCCTTAGGAAAGTGGGGTAAATTTCAGATTCACTCATTGTTACAAACCTGACAGAAGTATTTTCCATCAATTTAGAAAGATTTCCTAAGGGGGTATCCATATTACAAGTTTTTTCTTCCTGGTCCAATCTGAACAAAGTTGATTCTGGGAGTACTGACAAGTTCCTAAAACAGTGAAACAGATGTACACAAATGTTTTTCATTTAACATGGTCAGTTGGTCTGTATAAGAAATACTTTGCTGTGTGAGGTCTGAGCGGCTCAGTTGGTTAAGCACCTGCCTTCGGCTCAGGTCATGATCCCGGGGTCTTGGGATTAAGTCCCACATCGGGCTCCTTGCTCAGCAGGGAGCCGGCTTCTCGTGCTCTCTCTCTCTGACAAATAAATAAAATCTTAAAAAAAAAAAAAAAAGAAATACATTGCCGTTTGCTAAAAGAATAAATGAGCCAGAAGAGCTATTAAAATGGCTACCAGGCCCTAATTCATACTTGCCAATCAGACAAATAAGAATGGTGGACTGGCAGAAAAGGGAGAAAATAGGGCACAAGACACTAAGGTCAAAGCAATTAGTCATGAACCTACAATACCTGCTGACAATTCACTAGGCCTCGCTTTGTGATCTAGCCTGGGCTCATCACCCCCAGAAGAATCCTGAGCACACGGCCCCTCTCTCCTCCAGGCTGGAGCATAGGTCTCTTTCCTGATGCCTTCTCCCACTCCTCCTCCAGCTCCTAAAATCCTAGAGTTCCCTAGGGTCCTTCCCTGGCCCTCTGTACTGCTCTTTCTTATCATTTTCCCTTTGGTTCCATGCCCTCATGTAGCTCTAAATCCCAAATCTACACCCTCACATTCCTTTTCCACCTGGTTGCTCAGCCAAGCTTCAGGTCTGGATATTCAGCAGGCCACAAGATGTTCCACCTGGTCAAAGCCCAGGCCATGAAAACTCAACATATTCAAAACTGAACAAATCTTTATCCCCGCTGAACCTCATCCTCATTCTGTGGGTCTGAATCCAGTCAGTAGCACTCGCCTCTACACCACTGCCTTATCCTTCCCTCTCCCTTCCTCTCACCCTCTTCCCAAACTCCATATCCAGTCAGCAGCCAAACATCGGCCCATTTTACCTTTTAAATACTTCTCAAAGTCACTCCATCCTCTCTGCCAAAGCTACCTCGCCCTCAATCACCACTAGCCTGGGCCACTACAAGTTTCCCGGTTTCTATGCTTTCAGTTTCATCTCTATTAACTATTCTTCACAATGCATTCACAGAAAAATGCAAATCCGATTATTTATCACTCTTCTGTTTAAAACTCTTCAATACATCTGAATAGTCACAACTTAACATGGTATGTAAGACCTTCTATGAACTGACCTCCCCAATCACACTCCCTTCTTCATCTTTTACATTCCTGCACTTTACTGAACATTCCACCTCATACTGTATCACACCATCATGCCTTTATTATGCACCACGTTCCTCTGTCTGGCATCCTCTTCCCACACTGTCACCAGGCTAATTATTCCACCAGGTGAAGATCCAGAATGACCTTTTTCAAAAGCTTTCCCTAAGGCTTCTAAACTTCGGTTCAATGCCTGTCATCTGTGTTCTCTTCAATTCAAACATTTGTCGTATTAGACCAGAAATACGTTTATTTGTCTACCCACAAGATTATAAGCTCCTCAAGGATTTGCAAAGCAGGATACACATTAAATAAATAACTGCAAGCGACTGCAGGAAATCCTAACAGATAAAAGAAATACTGTGGTTCATATTCCCATACCATGAAATCTAGACTAGGGCTGGCTGTGGCTAAACTAAAATTACTGACTGGTAGAGAACAAGCCTGGACACATCCAGGGCAGTTACCCAGAAGTCACTGCATCCCAATTGCTGCTCTCCATCCATTAAGATATGGTGAGGCATGGCGTGCACTTAAAAGCAAGGAAGGCTGGGAGTGCAGGAAGAGGGGAACATAGATATTAGTGAGCATGGATAATAGTCTCAACCACAAATGTTCATATCAACTATTTTATTTACTTAATATTTTTCTTTAAATGAACTCACTTTAACAAAGATAAATATACTTTATGTCACAACTATAAATGGAAAAAAATGTTTTTTAAAAAGATTTTATTTTTAAGTAATCTCTATACCCAACATGGGGCTCGAATCCACAACCCCAAGATCAAGAGTTGCACGCTTGACTGAGCCAGCCAGGCGCCCCAAAACGGTTCTTTTTAGATGGAAAAAATGAAATGGTGAGCGCCCAGAGGGCTACAAATAAGCTTCAAGGCTAACGGGATCTAGCCTGCTGCCATTCACGTGTTGGTGAGAACTAGATAAGATTGTGTCCACATTAGCATTACAAAACAGAATATACTAAACAAAAGTTGAGCAGTTTGGTAGTTCCTCAAAATGTTAAACTCAAAATTAGTACACGACCCAGCAATTCCATTAGTAGGTATCTACAAAGGAAAATAAAAATATATTCACATAGGGGGGCTTATGGGGGCTCAGATGGTTAAGCATCCAACTCTTGATTTCAGCTCAAGCCATGATCTCAGGGTCCTGGGATTGAGCCCATGTTGAGCTCTGCGTTCTGCGGGGAATCTGCTTCTCTCTCTCCCTCTGCCCCTCACCTCACCTGCACTCTCTCACTCTAAAATAAATAAATCTCTCTCTATATATATATTCACATAAATATTTGATGTGAGTATTTATAGCAACAATAGCCATAACACCCAAAAAGTAGAAACAACTCAAATGTCCATCAGCTGGTGACTGGATGAGCAAAACATGGCCTATCTACATAATGGAATATTATTCAGCCATAAAGAAATAAGGTACTGGGGCACCTGGGTGGCTCAGTCGTTAAACATCTGCCATCGGCTCAGGTCATGATCCCAGGGTCCTGGGATCAAGCCCTGCATCGGGCTCCCTGCTCAGAGGGAAGCCTGTTTCTCCCTCTCCCACTCCCCCTGCTTGTGTTCCCCCTCTCCCTGTCTCTCTCTCTGTCAAATAAATAAAATATTAAAAAAAGAAAGAAAGAAAGAAAGAAAGAAGGTACTGATAAACGCCAAAACACAAAGGAGCCTCAGAAACATTATGCTAAGTAAAAGAAGAAAAAAAACAAAACAAAACCAAAAACCATATGATTCTATTTATATGAAATATCCAGAAGAGGGGCACCTGGGTAGCCCAGTGAGTTAAGGGTGTGCCTTCGGCTCGGGTCATGATCCCAGGCTCCTGGGATAGAGCCCCACATTGGGCTCCCTGCTCAACGGGGAGCCTGCTTCTTTCTCTCCCTCTGCTCCTCCCCCTGCTCCTTCTCTCACTCACTCTCTCTCAGAAAAAAAAAGAACAGTATGCTAAAGTAAAAAAAAGCCAGTCACAGAAGACCATATATGATCCCATTTCTATGAAATGTTCAGAACAGGCATATCTACAGAGACAGAAAGGAAAGTGGTGATTGCCTAGAGTAGGGGGATGAATACCAAAGGGTACAAGGGTTCTTTTCGGGGTGATGAAAATATTCTAAAAGTGATTTTGGTGATGGCTGCACAACTCTAAGAATATACTAAAAATGATGAATAATGGTTTAAATGAATAAACTGTGTATAGTATGCAATTTACATATCAATAAAGCTGTTACCCCACCAAAGGAACATTTCATTACCTGTCTAATAAACAGGTTACTGATGTCTTGTTAATCTCCTTCACATATCCCCTAGACAAAGCAAACAATGTTCTCTCTTCTCCACTTAAAATAATTCTATCACCTGCCATTAGATTTGTGACAGGAATGTCACCATTTTTACGTTGAAAATTATGTAAATATTGTCCATCACAAACTGTCTTAACACATTCTGTTCTAATCAGGTTTCCAATGCAGTTGCCACTCTCCTCCCTATGAAACAGAAAGAAAGAGAAAGCTTACATTTACATCATATATATATAAATACTATATTTGCATTTTTCCACAATTTACTTGTTCATCTGGCCCCTGAAAGCTATAATGCTAATACTGGGTCATTCATTTTTACATTTTCCACAATCTACATTAAAGTGTTAGAAATGCTAAGGAAACATTCTATTAGTTATAAAATAATCTCTCATCAAAAGATCTCTAGACAAATGCTAGGGAGCGTATTCCCTGTTGCACCCACAGGCTGGGATCTCCGAACAACATGTGTATCAGCACTTTGAACCTTGAATGACACCCCTACTTCTATGCTGATACACATAATATTACAGAAGACAAATGGTAATATTTTTCCTGAACTTAATGTGAAGAAAATAAGTACCTATTTATAATTATTGCTATTAAAATAATGGCAAGCAAACTGATAATCCCACTGCTTCCAAGAAATAAGTATTAAGCATTTACAATCTCTCAGGCACTACTATTAAATACAACTTCAAAAGCTTGTTGGCATGTACACTTGATATATTCACTGTACTTACGTGGTCTATCAAAAATGACTTAAATTTTATCCACTGTAATGATCCCTTGTGTTAAAATTTACTATTAAGGAAATAATGATCCAATTATTTCTAAAGTCACATTAAAATCAATGTTCATTCTGGAAAGTTTTAAGTAAGTGGATCAAAAGCAATGAAATACTACCAAAAAAAAAAAAAAAAAAAAACCAACTGGGGCGCCTGGGTGGCTCAGTCAGTTAAGTGGCTGCCTACAGCTCAGGTCATGATCCCAGGACCCTGGAATTGAGTCCCGCATCAGGCTCCCTGCTCAGCAGGGAGTCGGCTTCTCCCTCTCCCCGTGCTGTGCTTTCTCTTGCTCTCTGTCAAATAAATAAAATCCTTAAAAACAAAAAAAAGAAAAATACTATTCAAAGATATACAAAATTACTTCTTTATAAGCAACTTGTAAAAAAAAAAGATCTCTATAGGAAACAAACTGAGGGTTGCTGGAGGGGAGGTGGGTGGGGGGATGGGGTAACTGGGTGATGAGCATTAAGGAGGGCACTTGATGTAATGAACACTGGGTGCTATAGGCAACTAATGAATCACTAAACTCTACCTTTGAAACTAAAAAAATTTTAAAAATTAAAAAAATTTTAAATAAAATAGATCTCACAAAATAAAAGATGGACCAACTTTAGAAAATGTGAATCTGTATCAAAACACTGAAAATATGAACTTTTTAAAGACTAGTATTTAGGGGCACCTGGGTGGCTCAGTCAGTTAAGCATCTGTCTCTGGCTCCGGTCGTAATCCCAGGGTCCTGGGATTGAGTCCCACGTCGGGATCCTTGCTCAGAGGGAAGCCTGCTTCTCCCTTCGCCTGCTCTGCCTGCCACTTCCCCTGCTTGTGCGCGCTCTCTCTGACAAATAAATAAATAAAATCTTAAAAAAAAAAAGTTAAGGGGCTCCTGGGTGGCTCAGTCGTTAAGCGTCTGCCTTTGGCTCAGGTCATGATCCCAGCTTCCTGGGATCGAGCCCCGCATCAGGTTCCCTGCTCAGAGGGAAGCCTGCTTCTCCCTCTGCCACTCCCCCTGCTTGTGTTCCCTCTCTCACTGTGTCTCTCTCTGTCAAATAAATAAATCAAATCTTTAAAAAAAAAAAAAGATTTCTCAAGACACATTTAACCTACTGAAAATAAAATAGTGCTCTACTTGAAACAATTCCTTGACAGCCATCTAGAGTTGGCATGAATATATGAAATTACACATCTCTGACAGGATATCATGTATCCTGTATTTTTCATGAATTCCAAATACCATTCCATTAGGTAATCCAAATTACTTAAGTTTTACTGTATTAGATGGACCACTTACATTTCTGAAGCAGGCATTAACCATATATGTTGGTGATTCTTTTTATTATCCTTTGATTGTGACTCCAGGGTTAACATTAGACACCAAAGGCTGAAATACTCCAGGTGTGTAAGCTTTAGATGTTGGGTTTCTTCTTTTATTTTGGGCAGCATGCCAATCGGGACTGAACTGTCATCCATCTGTTGTTCAACTGCTCTAAAGAGAGATGTATATAAAACATTTTACTGGCTAGCTATAAAAATGAAGTTATTTCTAAAATAAGCATACATAGGGGCGCCTGGGTGGCTCAGTTGGTTGAGCGACTGCCTTTGGCTCAGGTCATGATCCCGGAGTCCTGGGATCGAGTCCCGCATCGGGCTCCCCGCTCAGCAGAGAGTCTGCTTCTCCCTCTGACCCTCTTCCCTCTCGTGCTATCTCTCATTCTCTCTCTCTCAAATAAATAAAAATCTTGAAAAAAAAATAAATAAAATAAAATAAGCATACATACATGATGATCACTGTAACTTATAACCACAGGTCCTAATTTTCTTTAAAAGTCATTTCAACATTTTATAAGCCAAATGGCTTTTTACAAAACGAAATGCTAAAGAAACCGAGTATAGCATTATTTTGCCTTTAAGGACTATAACCCTAACAGCTACTAAATTTGGTATACTCTAGTTTTCATTACTATAATGGTAGCAAGTCTTGGCTTTCTGTACAGCTGCATTTCTCAAAATCGCAATATTTGTACATCCAGCTCTGGGCCATTAGAAAGTCAACATAAAAACATGGAGAATTATGTGGAATATCAACAGTGCTTAATACAAAATTTCTGAATTTTTATACAGAAACATAATTATGTTATAGGATAGCATACAAAACAGAGAATAAAATAAGATTTCAAAAAATGTGCTTGTACTATAGGCCCAAACTTCCCATAGTTCATTGTCCTCTGCATTAAGAGATCATTTATTTGATATAATACTTTGAGGGCGCCTGGGTGGCTCAGATGGTTAAGCATCTGCCCTCGGTTCAGGTCATGATCCCAGGGTCCTGGGATCAAGTCCCGCATCAGGCTCTCTGCTCCTTGGGAGCCTGCTTCTCCCTCTGCCTCTCTCTCTCTCATGAATAAATAAATAAAATCTTTAAAAAAAAAAAAAAAAAGATACAGACTCTTTGGGGCACCTGGGTGGCTCAGTCGTTAAACGTCTGCCTTCAGCTCAGGTCATGGTTCCAGGGTCCTGGGATCGAGCCCTCCATCGGGCTCCCGGCTCCGCGGGAAGCCTGCTTCTCCCTCTCCCACTCCCCCTGTTTGTGTTCCCTCTCTCACTATGTCTCTCTCTGTCAAATAAATAAATAAAATCTTAAATAATAATAATAATAATAATACTTTCAAAAGTCCTTTATGGGAATTTTTTGGCTGAACTGGAACTTTGGTCTTGATTTGATCTTGTTTCCTACTCTGTATTTACATCTAACTACTTTTTTTGTGTCCTTCAAAACTTTCACTGGCCTATGAAGGTATAAATATAAATGACTGGTCTTAAGACAACTAATAAACATCCCACATGTAGAAAAATAGATATATAGGCCTCTGGCTGACTCAGTCAGTGGAGCATGCAATTCTTGGATCTCGGGATTGTAAGTTAGAGCCCCATGTTGGGTACAGAGATCACAAAAAAATCTTGGGGCGCCTGGGTAGCTCAGTCAGTTACGCTCTACCTTCAGCTCAGGTCATGATCTCAAGTGTCCTGGGATCGAATCCCACATTGGGCTCCCTGCTCAGTGGGGAGATGGTTCTCTCTCTCACTCTAATAAATAAAATCTTAAAAAAAAAAAATCTTAGGGCGCCTGGGTGGCTCACTTGGTTAAGCGACTGCCTTCGGCTCAGGTCATGATCCTGGAGTCCCGGGAGCGAGTCCCGCATCGGGCTCCCTGCTCAGCGGGGAGTCTGCTTCTCCCTCTGACCCTCTTCCCTCTCGTGCTATCTCTCATTCTCTCTCTCTCAAGTAAATAAATAAAAAATCAAAAAGAAAAAATCTTAAAAAAAGGAGGAAAAAAACATATATAAACAGAAAGACAAGTCCGTTGAATCGTATCAAACTGTCTGTCTGGAAGAACCAATTTGCCTGCTTTTAACTACACAAGGCATAAAATTAAAATGGTAACTAAGAAATAGAAGAATTCTTAAAGTATCACTTAAGAAAAGCTGTATAATATTTAAAATCCCTATACTAATTCCATTTTTTTTTTAAAGATTTTTTTATTTTTGGGACGCTTGGGTGGCTTAGTTAGTTAAGCATCTGCCTTCAGCTCGGGTCATGATCCCAAGGTCCTGGGATCGAGTCCCACATCGGGCTCCTTGCTCAGCCGGGAGTCTGCTTCTCCCTCTGTCTGCTGCTTCCCCTGCTTGTGATCTCTGTCTCTCTCTCTCTGACAAATAAAAGAATAAAAAATTTAAAGATTTTTTTTATTTTTAAGTTACACTCTACATGGGGTTCAAACTTAAAACCCTGAGATCAAGTCACATGCTCCCCCAAATGACCCATCCAGATGCCCCTACACTACACCCTTCTTAACCAGATTCCATTAAGTCCTAAAATTATTTCATTTCCCCAGAAATTTTTGTATCAAGATTAAAATAACCACTTTTGGAAAAAGTTTAAAAAGCATTCTATCATTCCCCAAGGAAATAGGCTGGTTACAAAACATGAACTGTGTTTTTTTTTAATATACCCTTCATTTTAAAAATACTACCCACAAAGAAAAATCACTAAAATGAAATCATCAGTGCCAGACCAGACAACAAAGTTAAATCATTTTGAGTTGAGTAAACATAATTTTGGAAGACAATGTTTTTACCTGCTATAAAGAACACAGTTGCCAATTTGCGAACAATATTTACAAGTTTGTTGGTCCTCAATTATTTGTGGCAAAGAAGCAAGCTGTGTCTTCTCCTTTTCACTAGCAGATTTGCTAATACGGTGAAGCAAAGAGAATGCCATCTGGTTTCTTAGCCTTAATAATTCTATGGAAAAAAAAGGTGGGGGTGTGTTTAAGAATTAAGTTTATTACATATCTTTCTCATGTAAAACTTTCAGATTTAAAATCATAAAATGAACATTCATGTTTCCCAATACACTAGAATAACTTAACATTTTGATGTATATTTAAATTTTTGTTCACTTCATAAGTTCTTTTAAACAACCATATATCTCATAACTAGTAAATATTATGAAGTTGGTATTTTTAGCTAAATGCTATGGATAGGGGCATCTGGGTGGCTCAGTCGTTGGGCGTCTGCCTTCGGCTCAGGTCATGATCCCGGGGTCCTGGGATCGAGCCCCGCATCGGGCTCCCTGCTCCACG